TATTCAATTTGAGACCAAAGCAAATCTGTCGTCTTTTTGGTAAAAAAATTGCTGCCATTTGCAACAACCTACCTTTGTGAACAAGGCTTTTCCAATGAAAATAAAAACGAAAAACAGAAATCGATTAAACGCCGAAGACTGTATTCAAATTGCTCTTACATCAAAAAGTCCCAATTTTAAAGTAATTATATCAAACATGAAGCAACATCATGTTTCCAAAACCTGAAGGGGGAAAGTTTTCAATTAATTTTTGTTTGTTCCAATTTAAGAATTTTATTTTGTTTGTCTATTACTATTTGTTACTATTTTCATGTAACTTTTTTTTTTATAAATATGTAAATGTAAATTAATTCAATAAATAATGTTTATTTAAAATTTACATTGATTGTTTCATGAATTCAGAATGGGGGGGGGTAATATCGACTTACGCAATAATATTTTGGGGTAATGGTTAAAAAAGTTCCCCGACCGCTGAGAGTCTAAAAACATATAGGCTAGGGGTAATATCGACTTACGCAATAATATTTTGGGGTAATGGTTAAAAAAGTTCCCCGACCGCTGATTTAGATGATCAGTGAATTGTCATTAAAGTTTATATCGACTTAAGCAAATATATTTTGGGGTAATGGTTAAAAAAGTTCCCCGACCGCTGAGAGTCTAAAAACATATAGGCTAGCAGATACTACCAACTCAAAATAAAAGGACTAGTTTTTGCCCTATCCTGTGATCAGGCCCCCTGATCGTAGTTGTCTGTTTTCTGTCGTAGATGTGATGTGTCAGGTGTTAAATGGGAAAATGCTTGTCTAAAAAAAGAAAGAAAAATGCTTTGACAGTTGTTTATGAAAACAGGATCAGAGAGAGCGGCAGCTTCACGGACGATCTGTGCCAGCTGAAGTCGAAGTCGCCGATCAAATCGGTGCTGAAGAAGTTACCCGTCTGCGCATCTCACACCAGCCTCGACGACGTCTACACCGTGATCGACTTCCATCTGAGCACGGAGACGTTGGCTCCTGTGCCTGGGACGACTGTGTTCATCAACTCGAAGGAGGACGTCAGATTCATCTCGAGTTCTTCGCTCTACATCGAAAGCAGCACGACCTTGCCGAAGCAGGCGAATGATACCATCGATATACTGAAACCGGATAAGAGTGAGCGATGAAGGTTCTCTTCCACTCGAAGAGTTACGAGCATGTCAAGCTTAAAAGAACCGTCGGTTTCTTCTACGGTATGCTGCTCGGCTTCATGTTCTACGAGCTGATACTGGTCGATCTGGACTTCACCGAGTTCTCATCGTTCGTCATGGGTTTGATTATCACGCTGATGCTGAGCTTCGGTATCGCTTTCTCCACGCAGATCAGATGCATCTCGATGCTGGCAATGCCCAACTTCGGAGGACAAGCAGGTAGAGGTGTCCTTAAGAGTTTAGTTTTCGCCTATCTCCTATCGGGACCAGTGGAGAACCTCACCATCAACGGAAAAGAAGTGGTCAGAGTCTTCGGCTGCACCACTTCTCTGACCTTCAACTTGACAAAAACCAGATTCGAGTTGATGTTCAAACCGTTCTCCGACGCTCTCCTCCAAATGAAAGCCGACGCGAACGAGATCAAAGACACGATCAGATCCATAAGAGATGTATCGGCTCCGATAGCCGGAGAAATCGAAGGCGAGGAAGAGATGAAGAAGTTGAAGGAGGAAAACGATTATCTGGATAGCACAATGGAAGACAGCAAAAGATCCAAAGAATTGGATGGTAAATACAGAACCGAGGGTGAGAAGAGCGAGGCCAGAAGGTTCGAGGCGAATTACCTGAAGAAGATCGAAATGCGTTGCCAGGATCAGTTCACTAAAGCAAGTAAAAAGTGCAAAGGGATGTTCGGGAAGGGCTACGACGTGTGCTACGACACTGTAACTTGGGTTGCGGCTTGGCTCCTGTGTTGGCCCATGAAGATCACGTTCATCTGCAACATTGCCGAAGCCGTCGGCGGATCCGGAAAATGCGATCCATCCAAGCACATAGATCCCGGTTTCGGTGAAGGTTACGAGTATTTGAAGAAATCGCGAGCGACTCTCTCCGAAAACTTTAAAAACGTCAAACTGCAATACAAGATTGGTAAAATAAAGCAACTGGCAGATCTCAGAGATGCCACCGACACAGCTAAAGCCGTAATCCACGAAGTCGATGGTAAGAAGCAGACTTTAGATACCATCCTGCGCATCTGCAAACGATTGTTAGCTTTCGTCTTTTTGCGCATCATAATCAGTTCGCAGAAATACCACGATCGCTATTTGAGAGATATAGAGTTCGATAATCTGTACATCACCAAATACTTTAAGAAGATCGATGCAAGAAGGAAATTGCAAGAGAAGCACACTCTGCTACCGCTCAAGAAAGTCGAAAGGATGAAGCTGATCGATCCGTGGTCTTCGCGCGTGATCGCAGTGGAGAAGCAGCAGATGTTACCGCAAGTCCTGAAGATGTTCCTCGAAATGGTGACGGCAACGACGATCATCCTTCTGGACCGTCTCTTCTACGAAGCCTTGGATCTGGTGCGGCGACATGCCAAGTTGGACTTCTATCAAGCGGGAAGTCACGATATGCTTCTTCAGGTCAAAGGGACCGGGATGATAGCAAGATTGCTTCGATCTGTGGTACGAGGCTTCAACATCAAGAAACGCATCAAGACAATCAGAAGTAACGCCACCTGCCTTCCGCAACCCAACGTCTTATCAAATTACTACCTCTACAAGATCTACGGAACTTACCTCTTCATCATGTTTTTCATTTTAATCCAAGCATACACTCTTCGTTTACGTCGCCCCATTTGCTCCATCTTCTACAGGAAACGAGAAAAGCGGAGAGTTTTGTTCCTCTACAATCAGACGCTGAAGAGGCGAATAGGATTCTTCAGGTTTTTATTTACTATTTAATTTGTTAGGCAATTCTTTCTAATTGTTTTTGTGTTCGTTTTAGGTACATGAAGAAGAAAGTAAAGAAAATGGCCAGAGAGCAGAGGCTGCAGCAGGATCTGAACGTGTGCGCTGTTTTGAGGATCCGCTTTCCCAAGAGGTGTCGTTGGTTGAGGATCTTCAAGGTGGCAAGGAGGAAGTGCATAATCTGCGGGGAACCGGAACCTAGGAAGATCAGTGGAATTCCCGGTGATTTCGGGAAGTGCAAGACTCCCGGTTGTTACGTGGTGCATTGTCTGGAGTGTTGGAACGATATGGGTAGAGAGTGCTTCGCCTGCGCCGAATCCGATTCAGAGACGGAACACGAGGATTCCGATGAGGACCATCACGATTTCGATTAGTGAGTTATATTTATTTGTAAGTTCAAGATTATATATACTTCAAGAAAGTCATTTCTCTAATTCTCATTCATTAGTAGTAGTTTTAAAGTAATTCCAGTATTTTATAATGAAATGGCAACGTTACTATTATGATACGTTTCTACAATCAATTTTGTGACATTTAAGACGTCAATCATTTTGATTATATAATTTTAATATCTCACTGACAGTTCTGATGTCTAAGATGATGCAAAGGGGAATAATTACTATTATGATACGTTTCTACAATCAATTTTGTGACATTTAAGACGTCAATCATTTTGATTATATAATTTTAATATCTCACTGACAGTTCTGATGTCTAAGATGATGTCAAAGGGAAATGATTACTATTATGATACGTTTCTACAATCAATTTTGTGACATTTAAGACGTCAATTATTTTGATTATATAATTTTAATATCTCACTGACTGTTCTGATGTCTAAGATGATGTCAAAGGGGAATAAGATTGAAACAAAATGTTTGCTTAAAAATTAGAACGTTTCGTTTATTATTCTAGTTTAAATATTATAAAATTAATACTATATGAGTGTATGTTGTGGCTGGGGGAAGAGGAGAAATAATAAATAGCGAGTACATGTGTGTTTGTTGCTTGTTGCGAGGGATGGCGTTGTCTGTTGTTATTGTTGTGATGTTTAGGAGACTGGATTGGAGATCGTTCCCCAGAAGAGCGTAGCTGCTGTCGCCTCATGTCGGATGAAGAACATGAACGGTTTGTTGGCGAGGAAACTCTTCGATCCTCCGTTGTAGTCCATTATACTGGAGGTGACGACTCCCGCCTCCGTGCCCTTCTCGTTGATGGAGAAGGTGATCTGCTGCAGGATATCCGACACGGTCATCCTGTTGAAGCGTGCCGCCTTCGTGAGGACGATCTCGGGAACGTCTTTCGGCTTGAAATTCTCGTACGCTTCGATCTTGTCGTAGATCATATTGACTTGATTGGCGTTGGCGCTCTGGTACTCCTTGTTGGCCTTCTTGAAGGAGGCGTACTTCTGCAGAGGCTCCAGGATGGATAAGCTGGTCGTCATCGAGATCTTGGGGATCTTGACGACTGCGTCCTTGTTCTTCAGATTCTCGACCATCTCGAGAATGAGCGGAGCCGTCGCTTCCTGCGCGAACTTCTTAATATCGTACTCGTTCTTGTGGCCGGGATTCGGAAGGATGAAGTACATTCCCAATTCGCGATTCTTGTACGGCAACACGAGCATCTTGCAGTTCAGCGTTTTACTTTCGGCGTACGGCACTGCTTCCAGGAATCCGGACATGAATTCAACGTTGACGTTCGTCTGGTGGTTCACGAAGAACGTGGCGCGAGAGTTGAGTTCGTCGCTGAAGGGTTGCTCCCATTCGGCGAGGAAGTAAACGGCGTTGCTGAAGATGGCAGCCGTGTGTTTGTTCGGTGGTGTTGGGAGGATGTTTTTGATCAGACCGTTGGTGTGATCCGAAGCCCACTTGTTTATAGTATCCATGGCCTCCTTGGATTTCTCGAAGTTCATGCGCTGAAGATCGGTCTGATACAGTAACCTAATCTCGTGACTGAATTCCGGATACAATTTAACGTTTCTGTTGACGAACAACGCGTTGCTGCTCTCCAAGGTGTGGGCACGGTTGAAGGAGCTCTTCTTCAACTCCCTGACGAGGCTTCCCAGCTGCAGGTGAAGCTTCGTGTAAGGCACGATGTGACTCACATTCTGACCGTCCTTCTTGTGCGTGTTCAGCAAGTAAGTCTGATCTGGTGTCTTCCCCGGCAACGAGATGAGTTCGTGCAGATGGTTGAGGAACTCTCCTTCAGCTCCGAGCATCATCTGACCGATGATCATCGCCGCGCTGATAGGAGACACAATGAAGTTATCCGAGCTGTTCGTCGTCGGTCCTTGGAGCAGAGCCTGCAGCCGCACACCCATCCCGAAGATCGCCTCCAACGCATCGCCGTACTTCGTTTTCAGGTGTTGCGGGATGAACTCCAGCTGATGGCTCGGACACGTCATCAGAATCAATCCGAATAACGGAAGCAGTTTCAAGATACGCATCTGAAAACAGCAAAGAAAAAAAACATACAATATTAGCAATCAATCGAAATATCACTTAACCTAAACAGTTACGTCACTTTGACAATTCAAAATTTGCATCGATTATGTCACAACTTTTAACGTTTAAATTGTCTAATTATTAAAATAAGGAATATCTTGTACGCTGTTAGAATCGTAAAAAATAAACAGCACAAGGTGGAAGACGGATGTAGTGAAACTGCGATTATCAAAGACGTCGTGTCTTATCTTGTGTGTGATGCAAATGTAAACAGAATCGCGAAAATCATCGTCGCATTAGTCGTCTCACGGTCATTCGGTTCAAGGTATTGAACGACGGTTCAAAAGGCCTTCAACCTCCGCAAGAAACAAGTTCATCAGCCTTTCCCTCTCTGAGTTCAGCATTTCCAAATTAGTTTAGTTAATTAAAGCGTCTCAAATTACGTCCGAAACATTTGCAATAATTAATTTTTTTTTCACTTTATTATACTGCGACGTATCGTATTAGTTCGACTTTGCATAAACATTTTAACGCTTTCAATAAACAATTAGTTTCTACGAATTTTATAACTGTTAATTTCTTGTTGCTTTTTTGTACACGAGGAAATCTTATCTAATCTTGCATACGTAAAAATAGATTTGTTTATATTTTTATCCGGAGATTATTAACTTTGTAGATTTCTATAATTTGTAAAAACAATTTTTCTCATTAACATCTATTTTTATGTCTGATCAAGAAAAAAGAAAACAATAAATCTGAAGATATTTCCGTTATCAACAGACCTTCAAATTCAATCAATTTATTATAAATAAATATTGTAAATTGATTAATTTTAATAATTTAAGGATTTTTTTCTCTTACTTCTTCGCACTCTTTAAACACGTAAAAGTTTCATGTTGAATCAAACGCACTTTGGAATATTGCACGATTGCACTTGTTTCTTTCATAAAATTCGCTCCGTTCCGTCGCACGGACTCCGCTCGACTAGAACAATTGACTACATCAACAACAACAATAATAATAATAATAATAGCAACAACTGTTACCATGGCGATATGCATCAGTCGACGCGCGAATAATTGAACGAACACGTAATAACAGCTGTGGAAAGTAAATGGTTAATTAAACAGGTTTTGTCTATGAAACCTTCGTTTATTTGTTAATTGTTCCATGGAAAATGACTAACAGCAATCATCGATTTGGATAGTACCAGAACAAAGAAACGATCAATTTCTGAAGCAATGAATTAGTCTAATCGTGTAAGAAAAAACAAATGCGTAATTGAAAAATCACAGTTTCTTTGACGTTTCAACTGTGTCATCTTTTGAATGACTTATATAATTTGACGTTTAAACTGACTTAATTTAGGTTAGACGACACGATGACAGTTAAAATGGATGGCGTTGTGTGTCATCTTTTGAATGACTTATATAATTTGACGTTTAAACTGACTTAATTTAGGTTAAAATGGATGGCGTTGTGCGCACTTGTTTAATATTACGTCACATTGGCGATGACTTATTGAATCGTGAATACTTCGTAGTTGTTTGAAAACAGTATTGGAAACTGTACTTTTTTTTTTTTAATGATCCATTCAACACGACGCTCGTAAAACCGTTGGATAATACCACTTTTTCTTTCTTTCTTTCCTTCCTTTTGCTCGCGAAAAGTAAAGTACAATTATTGCATTTTCGCTCTTCACGGTTATTATTTCCTACGCACTATACGACCGTGAATCACTTTGTGTAATCGCGATCCGACGCGAATTGCTGATTTCCTAAACTCATTACGAAGCATTTACGCTCTGCAAAACACACACAAAGTGCAAATTCATTCATTCGGAGCTCCACATTATTTTTGTTATATATGAATTTGTTGTTTTGTTTGCTTTAGTCCGTTTGTTTCGCTTTTTGAACTCATCTAAACTTTTCTCTACATCCGATTTTTTGCACAAAATCCGTGCAGAACGCGCGTAATTGGACGTATGCAGACGCTCGAAAAGTTCAGCATAGCCAAACTTCCACTAAATTCAGAAAAAGTTTATTTATTTTTGTTGATAATCATTACAGACACACAACGCAATTTATTGTTAAAACAGCAACAATGTTTTTAATTAAATTTATGAAATAAACGCCAATTTCCAATGAATCCAAAATAACATACCTCGATTAATCTCGTTTTTTTTTATCCTTTGTATTCGTGATTGCGTTGATTCGTTTTCGGTGTGAATTCGGGGTGGTTTAATGGAAATTTGCAATTGAAATCGCGCGTCGAAACGAACATCCTTTCGCTTTTCCGTATGTTTTTTTGAACAGTTCGCGGTTTGTGCAGAGATAGACGGACGGGCCAGACCGTGAATGAATCATCCATCCATAAAACGCGTCTTGTTTTATTTATGAATTTAAGACTTTGTTCGTATGCAAATTGTTTAGTGTTTATCGAAACGGAAAATCGGGGAGTGCCAATTCTTCGCAACAAACAAACAAAAAACGTATTTAAAATTGCACAGTCTACTCTACGCGATGATCGAATAAAAAATGCCATAACCTCAATGATGTGACAATGGCGACTGGATGAAATAGTAACGCTTCTTTTATGACAATCGTAGAAGTTTATTTTCTTAAATGAAATCATCAATACAAAAATTATATTGAAAATGTATATAGTTTGTTATACAAAATGATCAAATCAAAACTGACATAACCTCAATAGAAACGCTTCTTTTATGACAATCGTAGAAATCTGATATCTTAATTGAAATCATTACTACAAAAAGTAATATTGAAATTTGTCATACTTTTTCTACGAGTGGATCAAAACAAAATTGACATAACCTCAATGATGTGACAATGGTGACTGAATGAAAATTGTCATACTTTTTCTACAAGTTGTTCAAATCAAAATTGTCATAACCTCAATGATGTGATAATGGCGACTGGAGGAAATAGTAACGCTTATTTTATGACATTCTTAGAAATATGATTTCTTAACTTAAATCATTAATATTAAAATATTAAAGTAATTAATATTAAAGTGATATTAAAAATTGACATACTTTTTCTACAAGTGTATCAAATCAAAAATGACATAACCTCAATGATGTGACAATGACGACTGGATGAAATAGTAACGCTTCTTTCATGACATTCTTAGAAATCTGATTTCTTAATTGAAATCATTAATACAAAAAGTGATATTGAAAATTGTCATACTTTTTCTACACGATGATCAAATCAAAACTGACATAACCTCAATGGCGACTGGATGAAATAGTAACGCTTCTTTTATGACAATCGTAGAAGTTTATTTTCTTAAATGAAATCATTAATACAAACATTATATTGAAAATAAGTTTGTTATACAAAATGATCAAATCAAAACTGACATAACCTCAATAGAAACGCTTCTTTTATGACAATCGTAGAAATCTGATATCTTAATTGAAATCATTAATACAAAAAGTGATATTGAAAATTGTCATACTTTTTCTACAAGTGGATCAAATCAAAATTGACATTACCTCAATGATGTGATAATGACGACATTATGAAATAGTAACGCTTCTTTTATGACATTCTTAGAAATCATTATTACAAAAAATTATATTGAAAATTGACATACTTTTTCTACACGATGATCAAATCAAAACTGACATAACCTCAATGGTATAAAAATGGCGAGTACATCAAATAGTAACGCTTGTTTTATGACATTATTCGAAATACAAAAATTAGATTTAAAATTAACATACTTTCTTCTACAAGATGATCAATTCAAAACTGACATAACCTCAATGAAGTGACAATGGCGACTGGATGAAATAGTAACGCTTCTTTTATGACATCGTATTTGGAATTTGATTCTTTCGATTGTAACGTTCGGAAAATCGATTACTCAACTCTTCGAATCGTCAGTTAAGACTATGAACTACGATGCTGCATTCGCGTAGTCAATGTTGATTTCTTTATAAAAAACGTGAGTAAGCGGAAATTTTGGCACGAAAAAACTATGAGAAGTTGTGAATGAAAAGAGCGATATTTTGCGGTCAATTTATTCGCGTCTTTCCTGTCTCATGACAATGTCTCATTGATATATATATATATAAAGTTTTGAAAATTTCTAAATTTAGATTTTAAAAATTTATAAGTTTTGTTTTTTGTTCTTTTGATTATCTGAGATTATCTTAGTGAATTTTTGAGTGTATAGAATTTTCTTTGTTGAGTGAAAATATTATGTAATTAGTGATTAAGTGGGGAAAAGGTAAAAGAAGAAAGGAAAGATAATGAAAAAAAAAAAGGTGTAACAGATGAGGCGGTTTACAAAAGCGAACAATAAAACGTTTTGCGGTTAGTTTTTTTTTCTTTGTAATTGCGTTATAATGCACTTGCGGTTAGGATTTATATAGTTAGACTCGTATCGCGTGTAGTCTGCACAGTTCATAAATTCCACATTAAACAAACGTTCTAAAAATGAACATCAATATTCTATAAATAAATAAGTCAATAAATGCACGAAATTATGGAATTAAGGAAAAAAATGGTGTCATTTCTTTATAACCAACAAAATTTGACAGCTTAAATAAATGAACGTAGAATATCATGGAAACAGTTATTTAAACCAAAAGAAATTAAATAACAACGTTCAAATTCATGGCTCACTTAATTATGTATTATTATGGAACATTAAATTTAATTGTTGTAATTATGTAAAGTAATGAGAAAAATTGACGAAAATCATTATTTCCTTTAGAAAATTTCTGTTGGAAGTTTTTTTCTTTTCTTTATATAACTAATGTACATTTGATTGAGAATTAATGATCATAATTATACGTAATCATCGCTGCTGTGTAAGTTCGTATACATGAGTTTGCTTTGTGAATCGATTCTGATTAGGAAATCTCACAACTGTTTCTTTGTTTGGAAATGTGACGACTTGAATGTGAATTTTACTAAAAATCTGTTTGATATTAACTTAAAGATTTGTCTATAGTTGAACTCAAAATTTGATTCGTTACAATCATTGTTTGTTAAATTGAAAAATGGAAGTTATGAATTCGTCCTTCCATTAACGAATGATTAAAAACACTAGTAATCACTTTGAACTTGATGCAGCGAGATAGTTGATCCTAAAGGTTAACTTGAAGACGTTGAACTTGATTAATGGAAAGAAAAACATTCTTATTTAATGTTAACTTTAATTTCTTTGCAAAACATCAACATAATTTCTTTCCCAAATTTATTGTAAGATTGAACTAGATTCTCGAAAATTGTTATCAATTTAGGTGTGAACACTCTTAAGAAAGTTGCTTAAATTAACGATGATTAAGATGACCCGCAAATTCGGTAAACATGACTTTCTACGACTGTGCAAAAAAAAAAAATTGTCAACAAATTTCTACCGAATTGTATAAGAAGGAGTGTTTCGTTCTACTTTCGAAGTTTGTAAACAAACAAATCAAGTTTAAGTAAAAAATTACTGTTTTATTACCTTCGACTGTATCTAGTCAATAGTAGATGTTGATGATGTTGATGAAGATGTGCTCTCTCGGTGTCTGCAAACTTGGATTTCAGGTTGAACAACTTTTCGTAAAACCGCGCACACAGAAACTTCTTGACCTCAACAACTCTTCTCTGCGTTCCGTTCAGTAGAGAAATGCACGAGTGGAGCGAGCCGGGCCCGGTTTTAAGTTGTCCCGTCTGCATCGGACGCGTTTTTATCGCGCGATACGGGAAAACCTACTCGAACGACGTGTGCGAACGTTACTCTATCCGACGAATCTCTCCTCTCTTCCATCAATCGGGGATTCATTTTCTTTCATTCAATTTTTAACAAACCCGGATCACAACGACGATGATGATGATGATAAAGAAAATAGTAAATCCAAACGTTATTTCTTCGTATCGCAAATATCAATCGATTGACTAAAACTTCAGCTTTATCTCTTCTGGTTTTTCTTCCCCGAATACCTGACTCGATGTTAAACCTGTTTCTTTCTTATTTTTTCATTTTATTGAAGATGCCGAAGAATTTGGAGGACATTTTAGAATCGCACGCCAAAATGTTTTCAAAAAAAAAAACTATAATACAACATTCTAATCTTGTTTTTATCATTTGATTATTCGAACGCACAATCAGTGGATTAATCGAGTCATTAAGTAAACATCGATTTCCTTTGCAAACCAAATCAATTATTTCACTTATTATTAACGAAGTTTTTAACTTTACGTTTTATTTAATAACTCAATCACTATACGTTCCAATTAGATCATCGAATATTTAAATTAAAGATCAAATTCTCACCTTTCCAATGAACCCATTGAAAGATTTGTAGTATGTGCGGTTCATCTGTTATGAGCTGTCAAATTTAAAGCTGATTTTGACAAATTGATCATGATCAAAAGTCTTCACGTTTCATTCAATTACTCGTTAACAATATATACTAATTAAAATATCGAAGATGAAATTTAACGACTAAACTATGATCTTTCAAATAAGCTTACTTCGATATTTGTGATATTCACCATTTTAATGACAGCTAAATGTCAAATTATGAAAACTGTAACTTTACGTTTTATTTAATAACTCAACAACTAAACGTTCCAATTAGATGATCGAATATTTAAATTAAAGATCAAATTCCCACCTTTCCAATGAGAACTTTTATTGATTTGTAATGTGCGCGGTTCATCTGTTATGAGCTGTCAAATTTAAAGCTGATTTTGACAAATTGAACAAGATCAAAAGTCTTCACGTTTCATTCAATTACTCGTTAACTATATACACTAATTAGAATATCGAAGATGAATTTTAAAGACAAAACTACGATCTTTCAAATAAGCCTACCATGATATTTGTGATATTCACCATTTTAATGTCAAATTATAAAAACAGTAACTTTACGTTTTATTTAATAACTCAACAACTATACGTTACAATTAGATCATCAAATATTTAAATTAAAGATCAAATTCTCTCCTTTCCAATGAGCCCATTGAAAGATTTGTAGTGTACGCGGTTCATCTGTTATGAGCTGTCAAATTTAAAGCTGATTTTGACAAATTGAACAAGATCAAAAGTCTTCACGTTTCATTCAATTACTCGTTAACTATATACACTAATTAGAATATCGAAAATGCAAATTAACGACAAAACTATGATCTTTCAAATAAGCTTACTTCGATATTTGTGATATTCACCATTTTAATGTTATCTAAATGTCAAATTATAAAAACTGTAACTTTACGTTTTATTTAATAACTCAACAACTAAACGTTTCAATTAAATTATCGAGTATTTAAATTAAAGATAAAATTCTCATCTTTTCAATGAACCCATTGGAAGATATGTAGTGTGCGTGGTTCATCTGTTATGAGCTGTCAAAGTTAAAGCTGATTTTGACAAATTGAACAAGATCAAAAGTCTTCACGTTTCATTCAATTACTCGTTAACAATAAATACTAATTAGAATATCGAAGGTGAAAATTAAAGACAAAACTATGATCTTTCAAATAAGCCTACCACGATATTTGTGATATTCACAATTTTAATGTTATCTAAATGTCAAATTATAAAAACTGTAACTTTACGTTTTATTTAATAACTCAACAACTATACGTTCTAATTAAATTATCGAATATTTAAATTACAGATCAAATTCTCACATTTCCAATGAACTCATTGAAAGATTTGTAGTATGCGTGGTTCATCTGTTATGAGTTTTAAATTTGAAGCTGATTTTGACAAATTGTTACCTAATGTCATTTATTATGACAGTTATTAAGGTTATAATTTGTATTATTATAATGACATTTAGAATATTATTCAATTTTTAATGTTGTTATTTGGTTGTCATAGATACTAATTATGCCATAACATCAATTATTTAGTAATTGAATCCATACGACAATCAAACAATTCGTATTAACAAACCCTTAGCAACTCCATAGCAACTGACATCCCAAATAGTTTTTGTATAGTAATTTGACGTTTTCAAAGCATGAATCTACAAAAAAAAAAAACAAATACTTGTTAAAATTGATCATTCATAAATTTCCTGAAAATCAAATAGAAATAGTCTTATTATCTAGCAGTTCTCGAAACAAATCCGAAAATTCTCCGTAAAATTTTCGTTTTTCTTGGAACAGAAAAAAATGTAATAATTATGTACATGCGAGACCCCGGAAAAATTGAAAACATTCATATGTATTCTTTGAATACGCACGCGGTAGTAGTTTTAATTGCGCGAGGCCGACGATTTAAAATCGCATTACGCAAAATCGTCAAGCGATACGAGCAGAAAGAAAGCCTTGAGATCAAAGAACGCTTTAAAAGAAGAAAAAAAAACATAAATAAATTTAGTTTCTTTCAATCGTAAATTTGATATCTGGACATTTCATTAAACTTTGCCAAAACTTCCTGCATATTTTTTAACTTGTTATTATTGTTAAAACACAGTTTTTTTTAGCAAATTCCCCAAAAAAAGAAAGCGGAGGTGTTTGCTAATTAATTATCAAATCGTGAATTGTCAATTTGCGGTTATTTAATTTATTTGCGGACAAAAATAAATGAACGTCTTTGACACATCTCGATCTGTAAATGTTCGTCATGCTTTTGTTTTTTTTTTTTGGTGTCGTACCTTTTTTGTTTTGTTTCCGCGTCGATGATTAGTCAACTCTTATTTTTACGGTTTTCAGAATCCATTAGGCGTCTTTTATTATTATTAAGTCGCACTTAAGACTCGACTAGAATTCCGAACGTGGGCTCATGACTAAGTATTGTTTTTGTTTTTACTTTTTTTGATATTCACCGCTCGTACCTTATCAATGACTACTCGCCTACTATAAAAATAAAACACAAATCATACTATTCTATATTTTAATTCAATTTCCTGCGTTATCACAAATACGAAATTAATTTAAATGATAACATATTAGTTTCAATGAAAATCGTCAATTATTTTAATTAATGTAATTATTGCTAAATAACTTCTTTTTTTTTGGTGTTGTTATGTATGCAACTTTAAGTTACTAAGGACGTCTTCAGGTTGCTATGAATTTGATTACTGTTGCTAATGTCATTTTTTGTTCGATATAGTTACTTAATAAAGGTTGGTATGATGTTACTAACCAAATGCTGTAATTAATTGTCATCGACTGACAATTATTGAGAGGTCTATGGATTTTATTACATTTGCAAATAGCATTTTCCTTTGATATAGTCACTAAAGGATGGTATGATCTTAGTTACCAATAACTCTCATGTATAATCTTAGTTACCAAATGCTGTCATACATTTTCGACAGTTACTAAGAAGTTGCTATGAATTTGATTACAGTTATTAATGCCACTTGTCTTCGATATAATCACTTACTAAAAGTTGGTATGATGTTATTTACCAAATGCTGTCATTAATTGTCATCGACTATCATTCATTTTCGATACAGGTCTATAAGGATGTTATGATCTTAGTTACGAATAACTGTCATGTATAATCTTAGTTACCAAATGATGTCATAAATTGTCGACAGTTGTTAAAAGGTTGCTATGAATTTGATTACAGTTACTAATTACATTGTCGACAGTTACTAAGAGGTTGCTATCAATTTGATTACAGTTGCTAATACCATTTTTCTTCGATATAATCACTTACTAAAGGTTGGTATGATGTTATTTACCAAATGCTGTCATTATTTGTCATCGACTGTCATTAATTTTCGACAGTTACTGAGAGATCTATGAATTTGATTATATTTGCAAATAGAATTTTTCTTTGATATAGTCACTTACTAAAGGATGGTATGATCTTAACCAAAAACTGTCATGTATAATCTTAGTCACGAAATGATATAATACATTGTCGACAGTTACTAAGACGTTGCTATCAATTTGCTTACAGTTACTAATGCCACTTTTCTTGGATATAATCACTTTTCAAACGTTGGTATGATGTTATTTACCAAATGCTGTCATTAATTGTCATCGATTATCATTCATTTTCGACAAAGGTCTATAAATTTGATTACATTTGCAAATAGCATTTTTCTTTGATATAGTCACCTACTAAAGGATTGTATAATCTTAGTTACCAAAAAACTGTCATGTACAATCTTAGTTACCATTACCATTGTCGATAGTTACTAAGAGGTTGCTAAGAATTTTATTACAGTTACTAATGGCATTTTTCTTCGATATAATCACTTTCCAAACGTTGGTATGATGTTATTTACCAAATGATGTCATTAATTTTCATCGACTATCATTCATTTTTGACAGTTATTGAGAGGTATATGAATTTGATTACATTTGCAATTAGCATTTTTCTTTGATATAGTCACCTAATAAAGGATTGTATGATCTTAGTTACCAAAAAACTGTCATGTACAATCTTAGTTACCATTACCATTGTCGATAGTTACTAAGAGGTTGCTAAGAATTTTATTACAGTTACTAATGGCATTTTTCTTCGATATAATCACTTTCCAAACGTTGGTATGATGTTATTTACCAAATGATGTCATTAATTGTCACCGACTATCATTCATTTCGACACAGGTCCATAAGGATGTTATGATCTTAGTTACCAAATGCTGTCAAACATTGTCGATAGTTACTAAGAGGTTGCTATCAATTTGATTACTGGTGCTAATGCCATTTTTTTCTTCGATATAGTGACTTACTAAAGGTTGGTATGATGTTATTTACCAAATGTTGTCATTAATTTTCATCAACTGTCATTCATTTTTGACAGTTATTGAGAGGTATATGAATTTGATTACATTTGCAATTAGCATTTTTCTTTGATATAGTCACCTACTAAAGGATTGTATAATCTTAGTTACCAAAAACTGTCATGTACAATCTTAGTTACCAAATGCTGTCAAACATTGTCGATAGTTACTAAGAGGTTGCTATGAATTTGATTACAGTTGCTAATGCCATTTTTTTCAATAAACTAAAGGTTGCTATGATTTTAGTTACCAAACGCTGTCACAAATTATAATCGACTCTCATTAATTATTTTCAGTTACTGAGGGTTGCTATGATTCTTAGGACAAATACTAACAATATTTTTTTTATTAATTATGCTCAAGTTTTTAATATATTTTAAGATATTTTCCAGAAAATATCTATGAAAAAAATAATTTTTCATTATTACTGATATTTTCATAATTACAAAAACTTATAAAAGTTAATAAATTACTAAATTCAACATAATTGTGACAGTTACTAAGGATTTATTTAGATTTTTGCTAAGGACGCCATAAAAATCCATTCATCAATCTTTTGTTGTTACGTTGCTATGATTATTGTGATGGTTGTTACGTTACGTTAAAACTTGATAAACTTTCAATAGCCAAAATTGGATGGAATCAAGTAGCAAATTTTTGTTTTTGTTTTGAGAGATAAGACGAAGTGTGTTGTCGATATGCATATTATCAATTTAGTTTAAAACGAAATTTTGATTTCCAAATTTGTCCGTTAAAGTTCGGGTTTTACCGGACGCTAAGGCCCATCACGGTTGTTACGTAAAAAATAAAAAAAAGAAAGCTGGGTATTTCTCTTCAGGGAAATTCAGAAACGAACAGGTCAAAATGTCAAAAACGATTATTGATCTATCAATGAAAGAAATCTTCGATAATGAAAAGCTGCGTTTAATGAGGAAGAGTGCGTTTCGTTGTTGTGCAGGGGAAAACCGGAGGATTTCTCCGATCCGACAAATCCATCAATTCCATCGTCATCCGTCTGTCGAAAGCGCAAAGTCTGCATCGATACGCGTATTATCTCCTCGCCTCCATGGAAACCGTATGCAAACAAAATGCATATGTACATTGTTGACTGGATTATTTTTGTTTTGTGCATGAGTAAGCAGGATTATGTGAATCATATTTTGAGAACGAATTCGTCTCATTTCACGCTTAATTCCCTTTTCTATTTCCATTCTATAATTGTTCCAAGGAAAATTGGTGTCGAATTGCGCGCATCGAATCTACATTTAACGATTGGAAAACCTCAGAACTTTATTTACATTTCTTTTCTTTTTCGATCATCGTAAAAGACAGATTTGGAACGTGAGCACGTGCGTTACGTCGTTAAGTTTTCTGCACTGAATAATAAATAAATACGCAGGGAATTCTGCGCGTTTTTCGGTATTTTTAGTCTAAAAAAAAGTGTCTTCACCTTTTATTTCATTATTCCAAAACTACGCACGCTAATTACATCATTGAAGAATTAAATTAAAAACGAAATTATTACCTTTCCAACGAGTATACTTAAAGATTTGTGCTATTCGTAGTTATTCTGCTATAAGCTAACGAATATGAGCAATGAAATAGAAATTTGAAAAATGATTTAACTTTTTACAGCTTATAAATGACGAACGTTTTAGACCACAAAAATTTTAATGGGTACATTGGAAAGGCCATAATTTTATCTTCAATTTGCTTATTGAAACATCTATTTAGTGTAAGTTCTTATCTAATACTGAATAAAAGATGAAGACGTGAAAACACAACAAAAAATTGTTTTTTTCCAAATCATTGTTTAACATTACCGAACAACGATTATAACAAAAGATGCACAATGGAATCTCTTCTAATATTCTAATAAAATATGTAAAAAAAGTTTTATAGTTTTTGACTTATTAATTAAAAATTAATTTTGAAAAATTCAATTGAATTGAAAAAAAATAATTTTCCATTTTTTTTTCTTCTTAAGTAATTAAATTAAAGTAGACTTATTGGAAATATCAAATTTTTGCATTTAATTATATATTTTTTTGACAATTCCATGGCTTGCTTGATTGTCGAGTCATTAAATAAAACGTAAAAATGTTGAATGTTTTGACAGCTTATAACAAACGAACGGCGAAAGTAACAAATCTACTTTTAGAATAATTGGAAAGGTCACAGTTTCGTCTTCAATTTGCATGTTTGATGATCTAGTTAGCGTGCGTGGTTGTCAAGTTATGATAGAGAACATGAAGACAGTGCATATTTTCAACTTTGACAAATGAACTGTGCACATACACTACAAGTGGATTCATTGGAAAGGCACCAGTTTCGACTTTGATTTGTTTATCGAATGATCTAATTAGCTTCAGTGGTTATCGAGTTAATTAAATGAAACGTGAAAACAAAGTATTTTCAATTTTGTGACAGCTCATAAGAAATAACAAATGAAAGATGCGTATCCCAAATCTACAAGTTGACTCATTGGAAAGATCACAGTTTCGTCTTCAATTTGCATGTATGATGATCTAGTTAGCGTGCGTGGTTGTCGAGTAATTATAGAAAACATGAAGATAGTGTAATTCAAATTTTGACAGCTTATAACAGATGAACGGTGCACACTACAAATACATAAATGGACTCTTTGGAAAGGCAACAGTTTCTTCTTTGATTTACTTATTAAATGATCTAATTAACTTCAGTGCTTATCGAGTAATTGAATGAAACCTTGACATCAAATAATTTTTCAACACAGGAATTCTATGAATGTTGGTAGAAAGAAAAGTAACAATTCTGCTTTTGGGATAATTGGAAAGGACACAGTTTTGTCTTCAATTTTCATGTTCGATGATCTAGTTAGCGTGCGTGGTTGTCGAGTAATTATAGAAAACATGAAAATAGTGCAAATCAAATTTTGACAGCTTATAACAGATGAACGGTGCATACTACAACTACATAAACGGACTCTTTTGAAAGGCAACAGTTTCGTCTTTGATTTACTTGTTGAATGATCAAATTAGCTTCAGTGCTTATCGAGTTATTGTATGAAACGTGTAGACATCAAATAATTTTTAAACAGAGGAATGTTGGTAGAAAGAAAATCGTCAATTTCCCCAATCGAATTCTATTAATAGAACAGTGGAGATGAACAAATTGAGGCGGACTTAAACGGTTCCACGGACTTTTCGGAAATCCGATGAGAATCTCTACTTGACTCATCCGGACATTCATTCACGTAATCCGATTGTAGAAATCTAGTTTTCACTAGAAATACTACCGCAGAGAAGGATTTATCCGCGCCAATTGTCTATTTACGTAACGCATTTTCAGTGTAAATGAAAAAAGAAACATAAATAATTATGTGTAATTTAAAGAATATAAATAATATTGTGTGAGTTTTTTGGGGAATTGCAGTTTCTCCGATTATTAATTGAAATTTTAATGAATCCCGCATTCGCGTCTCTCGAGATCGAAACGGCAACAACAAGAACGAACAACACAACACGGCTTTGCGATCGAAGTATGCGAATGGTCAACAACAATAATACGAGAGATAAGGACGAGAGAGAATCGAGTTGGCGACGGCAAGACTTCAGTGCTTCTCTTGTCTTGCAGCGAATTACCGAAGAGCTCCATGCAAAACAAAAACTTAAACAATTGAGTGATGGATTACCAGAGGGAAATCGACGCTTGGCGTTACAACAGGAGTTCCCTGAATCGTGCGAACTGGATCCAGAGGACTGCGGTTCTCAGGAACGCCTTCTCGAATATCGGTAAATAAAGATGATGATGATGAAGATGTTGTTTTCTCTCTCTCCACTGTTTGTTTTTCTTGTACTTCTTCAGAGTTCGGTTCAAGAAGTTTCGATCATTCTCCGTTCGTCCCGATCCTAAGCGTCGTGATGCTCGTTATAACCGTTCTCCTCTTGATATTGTTCCGGCAGAATCCTGGTCTCGTTGCAGGAACCGTTGCAGGATGTCTCATCGTCATCGGAATGTACCTCACCCTCAACACCATCGAAGAGAACAAAGTCACGTTCGAATGATTCTTAACTTTATTTTTACCAAAATTTTACTTCATTACAAATATCTGTATAGTGTTAGTCTCTATACAAATTTTGTTTCTGTTTTCATTTGTTAATTGAGCACAGAAAATACAACAAAATAATTTTCAAAAGAATCTAATTTTCTTTTGTATAAATTTGTCTATTTTTTTTATCAACTGAAATATTTTGACTTAATAAACTTTTTTTAATTAACTTTTTATTAATTAATCAAAATTTCAGAGAAATAAACTAATTTTTTCTATTAGAAATTTACAGAATTTAAACAAAAAAATTAACAACGAAATTTATAATTTTTAATTCAATTTCCACAAAAATCATTATATTTTGTAGAAATTTTGTACTTTTGACCCGAAATCCAAACTGTTTAACAATGTTAACTCAATATTGATTTATTACTGATTTGATAACTTTTATCTCTATTCGAAAATTTGATAATTATTTGTAATTACATCAAAACATATCATCAGAATTTATTAGTTTTTACTAAAATTGAATTACTTCATTCAAATCTTAGTGTGTGCACGTGAATCCTGATAGTTTTAGCTTCAATATTTGTGTTTTTGTTTACTAAAATATTGTATTTTTTTTTTCATCGATATTTAGTAACCGAAATATCGACGAAAATAAAAGTGTAAATTATGTTTGAATTTTGTTAAATTTGCTCTAAATAGCGGACTCTTTCGAAAGGTTTAGATCTCTATTATATGATTCTTTGTAAATTTCGTCATTATCCTGCGTGGTTATCCTGAAACATAATAAAACGTGAAGAGGATCTATTTTTAATAACGTCACTTTTGACAGCTCAATGCAGACGAACGGGTGATAAAAAGAAAGCTATCAGTAGGCTCGTTGGAAAGGTGAAACTATCAGCTTTAATTTGAGTGTAATTATTTGTAATTATCTTCAGGGATTGTCGAGTAATTCACAGAAAACTGAAGACATAGAAAATCATCGTTTCTAAACAACAGCAAAACAGTGTAAATTAAGTTTGGATTTAGATAAATATTCACAAATTTGTGCGAAATATCAATGCTAGATTCGTTTCAGCGAACTCATTCGAAAGGGTTAGATCTCTATTATATGATTCATTGTAAATTTCGTCATTATCCTGCGTGGTTATCCTGAAACATAATAAAACGTGAAGAAGTTGCATTTTTAATAACGTCACTTTTGACAGCATGTAGAAGACGAACGAGTGATAGAAAGAAAGCTATCAGTGGGCTCGTTCGAAAGGTGAAACTTTCAGCTTTAATTTAAGTGTAAAATGATGTAATTATCTTCAGGGATTGCCGAGTAATTCACTGAAAACTGAAGACACAGAAAATCGTCGTTTCAACTCAACAGCAAGAAAAGTGTAAATTAAGTCAATGCTAGAATCGTTTCAGCGGACTCATTTGAAAGGTTTATATCTCTATTATATGATTCTTTGTAAATTTCGTCATTATCCTGCGTGGTTATCCTGAAACATAATAAAACGTGAAGAGGTTGCATTTTTAATAACGTCACTTTTGGCAGCTCGTAGAAGACAAACGGGTGATAGAGAGAAAGCTGTCAGTATGCTCATTCGAAAGGTGAAACTTTCAGCTTTAATTTGAATGTAAAATTCTGTAATTATTTTCAGGGATTGCCGAGTAATTCACTGAAAACTGAAGACACAGAAAATCGTCGTTTCTAAACAACAGCAAGAAAAGTGTAAATTATGTTTGATTTTGGTTAAAACCAACAAAATTAAAAGAAATCCAAAAAGTACATTAAATAAACATTATTTTTATTTAGATTTATACACTTGTAAATAATTAATCTGAAACTTAATTCAATTCAAATTGTAAATCAATATTTTAACTTTGTAAATATGTTTTGTTCGTTATCTGTAAACGCACGAAAAATTCTGATTATGTGAATCAAAACAAAAACTGTAAAGAACCCAAACAAATAATTAATTTTATCTTAATACTTATGAGCCAGATTCAATCTCCTGCGGATTTTCCTCTTTTCAACAATAAAACAAAAATTTCATGGTAAATTTTTGTTTTGTTGTTGTTAAAGAATGAGTTCATAAACATAATAACTAATGTTTTCGTGTGTCGAATGAAGAATCAGGTAGTTAAGTCTACTTAAAAACAATAATTGCTCATTTCACGGAGCTCTAGAATCTCGTATGACGAATATCAAGCTATTAAACGAACGAATTTTAGTCATGTATCGAAAATCTCGCGCAAAACACGTAAATAAACTTAACGTAAAAATTCGAACGTAAATAATGATTGCATCATCATGATTACTTTTCTTTCCTTTTTTTGGGGAATAGACAAATTGCATAAATATAATTAATTGCTGCACGAAATTGAGAGTGTAAATAAAACCGGTTTTCTCCGTGCAATTCTCTTTCCATCAAAAAATAGTTCCGGAACGAATCCTCATAATGGTGCATGAAAATTACATGTCTTCGGGCTACGAATATCGTGTGAAAAAACCGGTTTTTTTCTCTCTTATTCTGCATACACCACACAAAATCGCTTCGATTATTATTTAATTGGACTGACGTTCTTGATTAACCTTTTCGCGGAAAAATGTAATTCCTGAAATCCGAATTTGAAAAAGAAAACTTGTGTTTGAAGTACCTCAAGGAAATGTTCTAGGTCCTTCTTTATCTTTAACAAAAGAAAAATATCATTTACCAACATTGATAATTGGAACTTAATAAAGAAAAAAATAAATTTGAATCGATACAGAATTATTGTGTGGACGAACAATAACAATATATTTGCAGCAGAAAACCAGACTCGTCGCCGTTTACTCAATCTCTGGATTTATGTAAATTTAGTCGCAGCTCGAGATACCCTTCTGCACTCTGTGAAAGTTTCATGGTCGTCTCGTTTTGCGTGCGGAAAAGATTGTTTATCTGAATATTTTTCAAAAAATAACGACGTCCATCTGTATGCAACTCTTGTTACACGTAATCTTGACCGCATACAAAGGTGAGTCATTCAACTTTCATATGAGTGGTCGATGATGTAATTATCTTAAGGGGTTGTCGAGAAATTTACAAAAAAACTGAATTACATCCATTTTTTGGCAAATTTAATTCATTTTTTTCCAATTTCTACAGCCCATAGCAGGCGACTCGATGACAGCACCAAGATGTATGTAGGCTTGTTGGAAAGGTGAGATATTCAGCTTTCATACGAGTGGTCGATGATGTAATTATCTAAAGGGGTTGTTAATAAAATTCACGAAAAACTGAAAAGAACGTCATTTCTCTGTTACGTAACGAACATTACGTAAGTTTTGTTACATAAAAAGTTGCGCAACGCTTGCGTGCATCTGATTATGCAATAAAATCATAAAAAAGTTTATTACTTTTCGAGTTATTATCGATAAACTGAAAACATCCATTTTTTGGCAAATTCAATTCACTTTTTTTCCAATTTTTTAAGCTCATAGTAGGCGACTCGGCAGCAGTACGAAGATACCATTAAGCTCGTTGGAAAGGTGAGATATTAAGCTTTCATACGAGTGATCGATGATGTAATTATCTTAAGGGGTTGTCGAGAAATTTACGAAAAACTGAAAAAAATCGAAAAAAAACGTCGTTTCTCTGTTACGAAATGAACATTACGTAAGTTTTGTAACATACAAAATTGCGCAACAATTGCGTGCATCTGATTATGCAATAAAATCGTAAAAAAGTTTATTACTTTTCGAGTTATTATCGAAAAACTGAAAACATCCATTTTTTGGCAAATTTAATTCACTTTTTTCCCAATTTCTTAAGCTCATAGCAGGTGACTTGGCAGCAGTACGAAGATACCAGTGGGCTTGTTGGAAAGGTCAGACATTCAGCTTTCATACGAGTGATCGATGATGTAATTATCTTAAGGGGTTGTCGAGAAATTTACGAAAAACTGAAAAAAATCGAAAAAAAACGTCGTTTCTCTGTTACGAAACGAACATTATGTAAGTTTTGTTACATAAAAAGTTGCGCAACGCTTGCGTGCATCTGATTATGCCATAAAATCATAAAAAAGTTTATTACTTTTCGAGTTATTATCGAAAAATTGAAAATATCCATTTTTTGGCAAATTCAATTCACTTTTTTTCCAATTTCTTAAGCTCATAGTAGGCGACTCGGCAGCAATACGAAGATACCAGTGGGCTTGTTGGAAAGGTGAGACATTCAGCTTTCATACGAGTGGTCGATGATGTAATTATCTTTTTAAAAAAAATACAGGCCATTATATAAAACGTTGTTTTCTTACTTGTTAATCAAAGATTATATGTATGTTTGGTTGCAGACTGTTTCCTGAATATTCCGAAAGATGTCTCTGCTTGTGTAAATTGAAACGCATAAAAATCGAAAAGTAATTAATATTTATTTTATTAGACTGAAGTAACAATACATGAATCGTTCAAGCACTATTTTTATATGCTTGCTTATTTAAATTAGATCGTTTTCAAGGAAATGGATTTCATGCAGCGCCAAAATACCCGAACTATAACCTTTGCATTATTGCTAACAGATGGTGCCAGTTGTCACAAAAATTTGAATATTTATTTTGCGCCTAAGGTTCAGGCAACCAAACATACATATAACACATTGATGAACACGTAAGAAAACAACGTTTTAGATAATAATAGATCAAAATTGTGTAAAATTGTAACAATTGTTTTTTTTATTTATGAATATTTTATAAAATTAAATTATACAAAATTGGCGAAACAATGAAAATAAAATGCTCTGGGGGTCAATATACTCCGGCCATCTTCTCGCGGCAAACCTCGTAAGTGATCCTTGTGGACGTATCCAGGTACTTCTCGAACAATTCCTTCAGCAATTCATGGATCTAAGCAAAATTAAAACAAGAATTATTAAAATAAAAAGCAATGTTAAACATCGTTAACCTGCTCGAACGGTTTCCTCTCGTCGTTATCGTTCTGCTGCTCCAGTTCGAAAATTAGAGCATCTATTATATTAACAGGAAGACAGAGGGCTTTCGCCATCGGCGTCAAATACTGCTCGATCCCGAAGTATTCGGGTCCGTAGCCCAGCGCTGCCTTCAGATAATCCATGCAGAATTCCGCAGCTTCCTCTAGGTAACCTGTGAAGTAGTAGAGCCTCAACAGCTCAGCGGGATTGCGTTTCTGAAACGCACAATTCGTTAATAATCAATTGATGGTAATTTTCCTAAAGAAAAGCTTACTTTGTAGGATGCCAAAAACCAATGCGGAAGAGCCATACCCATGTGGAGGATTTTATCCGCAACAACGCGATGGTAACAACTCAAATGCGCCTCCTCGTGCACTTCCAAATAGTGCTGAAGAAGGTTCCATGCGACGACGGACGTTGAGTTACCGATGTAATCAAAATCTAAAAAAAAAAATCATTAATCAAATTATGTTTACTTCTTATATTAAAGAAATACCGTGCAGATCGTTCTCTATCAACCAATTCCACGCTTCGTTATCTTCGCTTTCTGTTAACAAAACGCATTGATGCGTCAACATCTCGAAGATTATGTCGAAGGGTATTTCGTAAGCCACACACACTTTGAAAGATGTCTTGTATATGCCAGATGATGCTAGGAACATGACCAATTCGCTGGGAGCTAAAGCAGAACAAAGAAATCGTTATAAAATATACATTTTGCTTCTATAAGTGATCAATAATTACTTGTAAGATTGTTGGGAATGCAGTTTGGATCGAGCTTGGATAACTGCAATTTAGCCCTGGCAAACACCAACTCCTTGCGAATACCTTGCACATCGATCACGTCCACCTGTCTTTTATAATTAACTACGTGTGGCTCCTACAAAGAAACAAATATTTAAAAAAAAATAATAATTAAATTAATCTCGAATGCTACTCACATCATCGGAACCGATTTTCGACGGTAAGATGTGCACTTCATCCTCCAGATCAGGATCTGAAGGTTTCAATACCCACGCGAATTTGGAATCGTCGGTCAGGCAAAGGCAGTTAACGCATGCCAGGAAACATTTCACCTGCTTTTCGAGAGCTTCAGATGTGTTATGAGAGTTCAACCTGAAGGCCTGCTCGTACATCACCGATCCAGCTGCAAATGGAAAGATGTTACATAAATCGAATTAAAGATTTTTTTTTTGTGGAAATACCTAATCTCGTGAATCTCTTTTGTATGCAGTAGGCGTATAGGAAGTCGTAGTAGATGTTGTTCACCGAATCCGTTGCTCTTGCTCTAGTGTACAGGATGCTGAAAAACAGCTCTTCCAATTCGGTGTATTTGAAGGACATCAGAATGTCGAGTCGCTTGGAATCCAAGAGTGTCTTCACGAGATCACGAAGGTTGTCCTTTTTACGCTCAGCATCAGGGTTTGAGGAGAGAGCTTCGAAAGCCTCATCGTAATGACCCAATGCTAAATGGTGCTTGAACTTGACAGAGTAAAGAGTCGCCTTCAACGGCTCATCGTCCTCCAGGATTGCCAAAGCCGTATCAGCAGCCTCCAAGGCGAAATCTTTCGCGTTGTGCAACTCGAATAATTGTATAATCTACAAGAAAATTAAAGATGTAATTCCAAATTTTAGTTACGTGCAAGACAAAAGACTTACTTTTAAATAATAGAGGACGATTTTGGAAGACTTGGTTTTGTCCAGATTCCCGACGCGATCGACGATGAACTGTTCGGAGTAGATGCCTCCGCTCGCCTGGGTGAATAGATCGAAGGACTTCTGTGTTTCTCCGCTGTTCAAGAAAGCCACGCCGAGCAGGAATTTCCCTTTAAAGAGCAGAAACATAAATGATAATAGTTTTGAAAAAATAAAGAAATTACTTGTGTATTTGTTCCAGTCGCACCAGGAGTCCATCACCGAGACGTACTGCTGAAGATGGATGTGCTGGCCGCTGCTCAAGAGCCATTCCGTGAAGGCGGAAGTTCCGCTAATCGGCCAACTGATTGCTAATTAAGGACGTGTTACGTACTTTAACATTGTTTTAAGATTACAAATTGAGCGTTTTAAGGATACATGTTGAGCGTGAGTTGTGTGACCAATGGAAGGAGAGAGGTGTGCCAAGGCGCCAGAGAGTCTTCATCAAAGTCGAACTTGAGTAAAGCCTTGTGCGCGTCGCTTCCTCCCGTCGATCTCGTATACAGTTCGATCAATGAAATTATTTGTAGTTGATGGATGCTGTTCACGTTGAACACCGGAGTCAGCTTCAATGAAGATAATCGCTGGTTCTGCGAGTCTCTGGAATTGCCAAACTGTTAATAACTCTGATCCAAATCCAAAATATTAAGTAATTGTTGTTACTCACAATGAGAGAACAGGAGCCGCCGTTAATTTGGTCAACCAGTGCAAAGCGAAGTAGCTTTGCAGCAGAACGGTGACTTCTGGGATGCACACCGAACGAATCGCTTCCAGCTTGGAATCGTTCTGATCTTCTAGTAAAATGTACTGGAAGGCCAACAAATTTCGGCAGATGGAAAACCTGGAAAAGGATACATTTGAATTCACGATAACAATGAGTTGATTAATTAACTAACTTAATACTGTTCTGTTGAGCGAAGCATTGCGTGACGACGGAGATTCCCAGCTGCGAGCTGAAGAGATGCATGATCGAGGTTTTCATGCTGTTCTTGTCCGTCTCCACGTCTGTAACGATGGACTCGTCCATCCTCAATAGCTCCAGCATTTTGTGGATGGCCAAATATAAATCGGTACAATCATAGAGCTGATGCCTAATCGTCTCCACAATCTATAACAAAATGCGTATATAAAATAAATGTTTTTCTTTTAAGTAGAGAGTAGAGAAACCTTTTCATCTTTGGATAGTTCATTTTGCAGCTCCTCCAAAGCCTCGCACGGCTGCATACCTTGCGCTAAGTCGTTTTCGATGCTTATCCTGAAATCGTCTCCGGTTTGCGCCTCAAAAGTCATCAAAATCCTAGTGAGGATTGTCAGATCGTTGCATTCCTCCCTAGCTGCAAAGATCTAATATGAATCAACGTAAATGTGAAATATGATCATAATTACAATTAATTTGCGGATGTTCGTAGATGCTATCGATGGAGACGTACTCGTTGCAGAGCGTCATATGCTCGATCAAATCCAGAGGTCTTAAGAACGAGAAGTTGGACTTCTTCAAGAGGACAGCTCCACAGACCGAAGGCAATAGCAGGATTCCCAGCGGCTTCAATCCTGCAACGTGGTATTGAACGCAACAAGAGTAAAACGATGACCAGCACCTAAGAAATAAATATAGAATTAAATTATAAATCAACAGCAAATTATTTTTAATATTTACCAATTAGCTGCTTCCAAGTAGTCTTCATCTGTGATTTCACAGTTCTGAAGTTCGGTTTGTATCTCGTTTTCCACTGCCATGCAGACGCGTTGCTTCAAGACCGTTGCTGATAAGTTAACGTCGCTGCTCACGATGGATCTCTTGTAGATCTAAAGGGTGATACAATTAACGTAATTTACAGTTTACAATAATTACAAAGTACGCACGCTCAGAGCTTTGCTGATGATCTGCATGGGAAATCTGCCCGGATGGAAGATGTGCTGGAGGTAGCACTGCTTCGGGTCCATGGTCTCGTCGGATGGTAACTCTTCGGGATTGGGTAACGGTTCGAGAACGACGGGAATCCACGACGTCTTATGTACGGTTTCCGAGTTGAAGGTGGAACTGTAGCAGCTCCAATCTCCGTCGTTGTCCCTCCAAATGGACCAAATCCTCGTGTTCGTCAACGAAAAGTCGATCAAATCTCCCTATAATAATTTACAAATGTATCATCTTGGAATGGAAATTAGCAAAATGACACTAACCGACACTGCTGGTGGATACAAGCTATACACTTTGACGATGCTGAACTGCTGTCCGTTGATTATCGGCTTCAGGATATCGAATCTGGAGCTGTTCGAGTACGTTAAATACGCGGCAAACATAAAGTCCGTCTCGTTCAAGCCTATCACCTTCTTGAGCACATGATTATGACCTGAAAGTAATGATTTAAGTTTTAAGGTCAAAATATCCAGTTGTTAAATCCAATTGGAAAGTGAATAACATAGAAAAATGATGAATTACCTCCTTGTTGGACCATCAAAGAATCGGAAAGAACATCACTGACTGAGATGCACTGAGCTTTAGAGCAAGACCAAACCCGAATTTGTCCATCTCTGCACAAAGTCAAAGCGTACGTTTCCAAACCGAAAGTGTGCAACAGCATGCTCACTATAGAACTGCTCTCATTGTTCTTTGACCTGAAATTGGAATAATCATATTAAATTTGCTTCTGGGTTTCAAATAAATCTTCGTTACCTGAACATTCCTGATAAGAATTTTTGCACAACTGTATCGTATTTCAATTCTACAGTTTCTCCTTCGCCGCTGCTCTTCTGCCGCACCAGGATCAACTCCCCGGTGGGATAAGCCAATAGGAACATAGCCTCTTCGTAAATAGTTAAGCAAGAGGCCGCTAAGTGAGGTAGTTGCAAACCTAAAGAAAAACAGGATTTAGTCTTCGCGATCATTTAAATAAATATAATTTGTAGCGATCTTACTTGAGGCAGATGGACTGATGTATACGTAAAAAAAGGAGTCGGTGTTTCTGGCCTCCGAGAAGATTGATGGTATCGCAAGATCCGGATGCGTTTCCATTAAATCATCCTATAAGAATAACATGAAAACAATATTCTTGCATTGATTATTTTTAGTACTGACCTGTTTGTGTAATCTGTCTGGATGTGGGAATATCAGTCTGTGGACGCTGCACACAGTTGGCACCAAAACGATCACATTCTCAAACGTCTCGTGTATTGTGATTGCATCCAATATCGGTGTGTCTATGAATTTATATCGGATCTTGTTGCCGGACAGGTTAACATCCAGACTCTGCTCGACCAGCTCCAGGACGTCATTGTTGATTCTCCTGAAAATAAACAATTGGAATGATCGAAAAACAAATTTGTAACAGATTCAACATACCAGTATATGAATCGGTTTCTGGTGAGGTGTTTGGTGGCATCCCGATAGCAGTATCCATTTGCTTTCTCGATGATCTTGATGTCTTGCAGGGTGCTCTGCGTTCCTCCTGCAAATGCGATAACCTCAAATTTGGGAGTTCAACAGAAACATTCGAATTTTTACCGGTGTTCAGGCTGATCTCTTTCCACGAAGCGTACGCCGATTGATCGGGAATCACCTCGCGATAACTGAAATTCTGTTCGCTCATCTCTCCGCTTCTCCACGCGAATACAACAACCGAAATACACAACAAACAATATAAACAACGGTCAAAGCACCCGTGGATTCAAATCACAATACACATAACCTAACTTTTCCTCTGACCGCGAAATTTCAAAACTTTTTTGTTCAGTCCTTCTCTCCTATTTATATAACACTTTTCTCCTATTCTCTTTCCTACGCTAACAACTCACTCACACTTCTCCTGTTTTCTTTTATATATTTTCGTTTCTATTTCGCATACTTTTGGGGGGATCAGAAGTTCTTTGCAAGGAAAACAGAAGCGCCAGGAGGTGTTCGAAAACAGACAAAAAAAGAACAATTCAATAAACAGATGGAGCTATTATTTCAGCAACATCTGCAAAAATTAACGAAATATCGACAAAATCCTCTTATTTACCTATAGTTTAATCATATCGCATAAACAAATATAAACATACAATCTGTTAATCCAATTAAACAAATATCAAGTATATAGGCAACCCAATATACTTTAATTATTACATTTAAATTTTAAAGTAGACTTTAATCATTTGTAATTAAACAATATTAATAAAATGATAAATACATTAACGTTAAAAATCAAACATTGATTATGAAATTGAAAATAATTCTTAAATTAATTAATTGAATAATATTATTATTAATATTTAGGTAACAAAATTGACTCTAATTAATTCTTCACTTCATACAGTTAAATGCATACTTTTATTAACTAATAAACATACAATTTATTAATCCTATTGAACTAATAACGTATAGGCAACCCAATATACTTTTTACTATTGAACCGAACCGAAAACCGTAAACTGAAATTAACCGGAATTTTTGACAGAAGCGTAACTGTAACCGAGACGAAAACTTGCTGAATTGAAAAACCGAAAATTTAACGCTTTCTTTAATGTATGCTCTTTGATGGTAGTGTTTTAGTTTATTTATTTAGTATATAGTATAAATCTCTCAAACAATCACCGGCAAAAAAGAGTAAATTTGAATAAGAATTAACATTAGAACAAACTCAAATGAAAGTGATTAAAACGGATATTACTGTTAACATGACTGAAAAAACATTATAAAGTGCATGTGTTGAACTAGTCACTAATTATTTTGTAATTGAAAACTATTGTAAGAACGGAATTTGGTAAATACAATTTTAATATTTGTCTCGATTTTAAATTTTAACTATAACTAATTTAAATTGTTTTTTTTTAAATTTTAATTTCAACCGGAACCGAACCGAAACCGAATCTGGAACGATAAACATTTACTTGGAACGTAACCGTAAACCGGAACGAAATTAATTTCGGTTCGACTCTTTGCAATAAACATACAATTTCTTAATCGAATTAAACAAATAACAAGTATATAAGCAACCCAATATACTTTTACTATTGAATTTTGAGTTTAAAGTAGGCTTTAATAAATAATTCAACGTTTCTAAGTAAAAACGTACATTTTATTAATCTAATTAAACATTTCAAGATATTTATAGGCAACCGAATTTACTTTTATTTTGAAATATAAAATACTTCTTTAATTAATTATTTAATTAATTAAGTAATATAATTATTAATATTTACTCTAATTAATTTCTCACTTCATACAGTTAAATTCTTACTTTTATTAACTAATAAATCAAAGTCGAACCGGAACCGAACCGAAAACCTTAAACTGAATTGAAAAACCGGAACGAAATCGCTTTCTTTCATGTATACTCTTTGTTGGTGGTGTGCCGGTGCTAGTGTTTTGGTTTATTTATGTAGTGGGTCTATTATTAATAGATTATATAAACTCTCATTTTCATCACGCCGAATATGAAGAAATCTCTCAAACAACCACCGGCAAAAAGAGTCAATTTGAAGAAGAAAGGGCAAGCACAAGTCTTGCGCAATTAACATTAGAACAAACTCAAATAAAAGTTAATTAAAAATGATATTACTAGTCACTAATTATTTTGTAATTGAAAACAATAGTAAGAACGGAATTTCCTAAATAAAATTATACTAAAAGTTGATTTTTGACTCGATTTAACTAATTTAAATTGTGTTTTTTTTTTAAATTTTAATTTCAACCGGACCCGAAACTGAACCGAAATTTTTAGACGAACCGAAACCGAATCTGGAACGATAAACATTTATTTGCAACGTAACCGTAAACAGGAACGAAATTAATTTCGGTTCGACTCTCTGCAATAAACATACAATTTCTTAATCGAATTACACAAATAACAAGTATATAGGCAATATACTTTTACTATTGAATTTTAAGTTTAAAGTACATTTTAACGTACATTTGATTAAGCTAATTAAACATTTCAAGATATTTATAGACAACCAGATATACTTTAATTTTGAAATATAAAATACTTCTTTAATTAATTAAGTAATATAATTATTAACATTTACTGAACAAAATTGGCTCTAATTAATTCTTCACTTCATACAGTTAAATGCTTACTTTTATTAACTAATAAACCAGAGAGTTCGAACCGGAACCGAACCGAATCTGGTAAACCGGAACGAAATTAATTTAGGTTCGACTCTCTGCAATAAACATACAATTTCTTAATCGAATTACACAAATAACAAGTATATAGGCAATATACTTTTACTATTGAATTTTAAATTTAAAGTACATTTTAACGTACATTTGATTAAGCTAATTAAACATTTCAAGATATTTATAGGCAACCAGATGTACTTTAATTTTGAAATATAAAATACTTCTTTAATTAATTAAGTAATATAATTATTAACATTTACTGAACAAAATTGGCTCTAATTAATTCTTCACTTCATACAGTTAAATGCTTACTTTTATTAACTAATAAACCAGAGAGTCGAACCGGAACCGAAACCGAATCTGGAACGATAAACATTTACTTGGAACGTAACCGTAAACCGGAACGAAATTAATTTCGGTTCGACTCTCTGTAATTAAGCAATTAGTTAATTAATTCTCATATAATTATATAATTAAATGTAGAAATTATCGGTAACAGCAACTATTCAAAATGTTCCAATTGTTATCTTCAAAATTCATAATAGTTTTTCTTATTAGTTTTAAGATGAAAAGCGTGACTTTTTCAAACGAGATATTTCTAAACTTTACATTTAAACTATACTGATACTAATTTGTTGCAATTTTGTAAATGGAATTGGTTGGAAATCGTTAATTCGTTCAGAAGTAGATTAGGCACGTGGTGTTTTCGGTACGTTTTCTGTGTTATCATTTTTTTTTGTTGTTGTTGTTGAGGGATACAGAGTATAAAAGATCGTTCGGGTGCGAACGATGAGCATTCAAAGAAACATGTTTGCATCCAGAAGCTTTCTGATTTTCGCGGTGCTCGCAGTCTTCGGCCAGTCGGTAAGTCATGAAGTGTTTGAGAAGTTTGTCTTCAGATGTGTTATTTTTTGTTGTTGTTGTTGTTCTTTGTTCGACAGAACTCTGTGAGAGGAGAAGGGTGCGTTTCGGGTACTCTCGACATCCACAACAAGTACATTAAAGTCTTAGACAAGAATGCGATGGGCATGATAGACAGCAACCGGGCCGTCGGTATAAGGCTGATCGAGAAAATCCGCGGATGCAAGAAAAACAACAAGTTGGACGCCTTTTTGAAGCACTACGAAAAAGAAATTAAGTTTTGCGATGAAATTATAAATGGAATGAAGGATGGCGTTCAGAGAGAAGTGAATAGCGTTTCGGAAATTCTGAAACATATGGAGTGCACGAAAAAAAGAACGTTTTTCGATAATGTATTTGGTGGACTTGAGAGTTTGATAAAGAAGTTGCCGATAGTTGGCAATTTTCTGGATCCAATCTTGAAAAAGTTACATGTAGCCGTGAATAGAATCTTGCAAGGAGTCTTAGATTTGTTGACATCACTACTGAAACTTCTTCTGGGATCTGTCGATGGTAAATTTGTATGTCGCAAAGCCGATGAGAAGACTTGCAAGGGCGTCGACAAGCACTTCGATAACATCGGCAGTATCATCACGAAAACTAAATTAAAATACAACGATTGTCTTAAGAGAAAGGAAAGTGAACTCGAGAGGAGTCAAGAGTTCAAGGCTGTCTGCTCTTAAACCGACCTTTTTCTTTCTTTCTTTCTTTCTTTCTTTCTTTTTAATTTGAAATGTAATATGTAGCAAATATATTTAGCACTAGCAAGCATAAACTGTCTCTGATCTTTACCTTCCACGCATAAACAACCTCTGCATTTCAGAAGCAACTTCGATAACTACAAAAACCAAAACCTACAGTGGAACCTCGCTTAACGAGTTTAATCCGTTCCAAAATTTCCGAATTTTAAGCGAGTCAACTTTCTTACAATTCATTTTGATCGTTAAGCGAAAATCTCGTTAAGCGAGGTTCCACTGTACTTTAAATACGCATTCGATCATTGTCTGCCATTTTGAATGCCGCCATCTTATTCCAATTCAACACTTTTCAAATTTACCTCTTTTATTTTTCGATTTGGACTAATAAAATATACTTAAATCTAGTTTGCAAACACTTGCGTAATTAATTACGATTCAATTGTTTTTACCTTTTCCAGTCTATGATTACCATTAAACCTAAAGTCAAACTTTTAATAAGCAATCTTTTTGTCAATGTCAAACTTTGACGTCTGGCAAATTAAAAGACTAATAAATCTGATACTAATTGAACACCAAACGCATCCAATTGCTATATTAAAGCAACCCCTAAAATAGTGACATATTTCTTTTCTAAACCTGTCAATGTTTCAAAAGATTGACAAGTCTCTAATATGACAGAAACATGTTATGTGACGTTTCAATCAAGTTTTTTTTATTATCATCAATAATATTAACATTTTAATACGGATTTTGATCTTTTCTAAATCTGTCAATATAAATGTTTCAAAAGATTGACACAATCTAACACATCTTCAATCTGACACTGACAGAAAGATGTTATGTAAAGTTTCTTTCCAATTTTTTTTATTAATTGTATTAATACTGCTTATTATCAATAATGTCATCAATAATCTGACACTGACAGAAACATGTTATGTAACGTTTCTTTCCAGATTTTTGTATTAATTGTATTAATACTGCTTATTATCAATAATATAAACATTTTAATTAATATTTTGATCTTTTCTAATCCTATCAACGTCAATGTTTCAAAAGATTGACACAATCCAACAAATCTTCAATTTGACACTGACAAAAACATGTTATGCAACGTTTTTTCTTGATTTTTTTATTAATTGAATTAATACTGTTTATTATCAATAATATTAACATTTTAATTATGATTTTGTTCTTTTCTAAACCTATCAAAGTCAATGTTACAAAAGATGGACACAATCTAACAAATCTTCAATCTGATACTGACAGAAAGATGTTATGTAACGTTTCTTTCCAGATTTTTTCATTAATTTTATTAATACTGCTTATTATCAAAAATGTCAATATTTTAATTAAGATTTTGATCTTTTCTAAACCTATCAACGTCAATGTTACAAAAGATTGACACAATCCAACAAATCTTCAATCTGACACTGACAGAAACATGTTATGTAACTTTTGTTTCCAGATTTTTTCATTAATTTTATTAATACTGCTTATTATCAATAATGTTAACATTTTAATTAAGATTTTGATCTTTTCTAATCCTATCAAAGTCAATGTTACAATAGATTGACACAATCCAACAAATCTTCAATCTGACACTGACAGAAACATGTTATGTAACGTTTCTTTCCAGATTTTTTTTATTAAATATATTAATACTGTTTATTAGGATTTTGATCTTTTCTAATCCTATCAACGTCAATATTACAAAAGATGGACACAATCCAACAAATCTTCAATCTGACACTGACAGAAACATGTTATGTAACGTTTCTTTCCAGATTTTTTTTATTAATTGTATTAATACTGCTTATTATCAATAATGTCAATATTTTAATTAAGATTTTGATCTTTTCTAATCCTATCAACGTCAATGTTACAAAAGTTGGACACAAACTAACAAATCTTCAAACTGACACTGACAGAAATATGTTATGTAACGTTTCTTTCCAGATTTTTGTATTAATTGTATTAATACTGTTTATTAGGATTTTGATCTTTTCTAATCCTATCAACGTCAATATTACAAAAGATTGACACAATCCAACAAATCTTCAATCTGACACTGACAGAAACATGTTATGTAACGTTTCTCTCAAGTTTTTTTTATTAATACTGTTTATTATCAACAATGTTAATATTTTAATTAGGATATGTAAAATATTGAAAATCTAAAATGTGCAAAGTTTTGTAAATAGGAACGTGCTTCTATAATTGTGTTAATTGCGTATTTTATGAATGGTTTTAAAGTCACCATCGAAACGTGCTTAAAACCCATTTTCTGTGCAGTATAAAAAGTGGTGCGCGATGCACGAGCAGATTCATTCAGTGCAAATCGACATGTTCAAAATAACGCTACTCTCCTTCATCCTGGCATCTAGCTTTGGGCTGGTAAGCGCAGATCGAAATGATAACTATTATTATTATTATTTTCCTTTAATTTGCAGATTTCCGCCGATTTCGTGAACGATTGCAACGAGGGAAATTTAAACTTCGCTGCTGCGATTATGAACGATGCGACCTTCATGTATAGCACAGCTTTGACGAAATTGGCGGCGGTGCCTGGTGATCTGTTGGACAAGATCATCTCGTGCAACGGCGGTAATCGGAATGAAGCTCAATTGAATGCGTTCGGTGCGAATGAGAAGCAACAATTGAATAGATGCAACGATAAGTTGGCTCTTATTAAGAACGCCAAGAAAGAGGTGAACCAAATCACGCAGATCTTAACTAAACTAAAGTGTGTGAGGAGCGAGCAAGGAAACGAGAATCCTTTGGATGATCTGATTAATGATAGCAAAGGTATCGTTGATAAGGCGTCAAACTATATGCTACAATTGGTGTCGCCTGTTTCCAAAGAATCGGGCGGTCTTATCGGTAATTTACTCGACGGTGTATTAGGAAAGTTATTTAATTTAGTAGGAAGCTTACTTAGTGGAATACTTGGTGGATTAGGTCTGGGTCGGAGCAGCAAACACGTTCCAATTACAATAGATACGATAAGATTAACAGTGACGAGCTTGACCGATGATTCGATGAAAGTTATTAGCTCAACATTGGAACCCATCCTTTCTCCAATAAAAGGAACGTGGTCGTGTCCGAATCCAATGGAAATGCTAACCTGCTTGAAGATCAGCGACCTGATCAACAATATCAACAGCGAGATCATGGAAAGCGTGGAGAATTTTGGCAATTGCATCGACGATAATAGAAATCAATTATCTGGAAATCTTTGCTAGACGAAAATAAACCTTGATGTAGCAATTAAAGAAATATGGTGATAGTACAAAACTCGATATTTTTTCTTTCCTAATTGAATCCTACATCGAAAAATCAACCGTTCTCCTATTATCAAATAACTTGAAAACTATACATGTTGATTAGATCATTAAAAATGCAAATTAAAGATAAAACTAAAGCCTTTGCAATGAGCACATTTCCAGATTTGTTGTTTTCGCTGTTCTCGTGTTAAAAGGTTTCAAAATTTAGTAAAAGAAACGACGCATTTTCAGCGACGTAACAAAATCGTAGGTTTCTCTTTTTCAGAACAGTTGGAAACAGTTAAGACTTTCATCATTAGTTCGTGTACAAGATGATATAATTAACAAATTTAACACGTTCCTATATGTTCATAATCGCGCCCATTTGACGATGTCTTCACGTTTCCTTGAATTACTTCACGACTGAGCGAGCTAATTACAGCATAAATATATGATATTAAAGATGAAAGTATCACCTTTCCAACGAGCCCTTTGGTAGCTATGTGCTGCCATCGAGTCATCTGCTACGAGCTGTTAAATATGTCAATGCACCATCTTCACGTTTTACTTAATTTCATGATAACCACGCAAGATAATTACATACTTCAACTTGAATCTTAAACTGAAAAGCGCCACCTGTCGAATGGGCGTTCTGAAAAATACAAATTCAATTGGTAACTCGAAAACTATACAATTTTGCTTGTTGGTACAAATAACTATTCAGATAATTCTTTTCAAGACTAAATTATAGAAATATTGTAAGCAAAGATTGAACACGGAATGTTTTCGACGACTTACACGTTTTCAATCAATAATATCAACAGCGAGATCATGGAAAGCGTGGAGAATTTTGGCAATTATCTGGAAATCTTTGCTAGTAAAACTTGACGAAAATAAACCTTGATGTAGCAATTAAAAAGATATGGTGATAGTACAAAACTCGATTTTATTTTGTTGTTTCTTTCCTAATTAAATCCTACATCGAAAAATCAACAGTTCTCCTATTATCAAATAACTTGAAAACTATACATGTTGGTTAGATCATTAAAAATGCAAATTAAAGATAAAACTAAAGCCTTTGCAATGAGCACATTTCCAGATTCGTTGTTTACGCTGTTCTCGTGTTAAAAGGTTTCAAAATTTAGTAAAAGAAACGACGCATTTTCAGCGACGTAACAAAATCGTAGGTTTCTCTTTTTCAGAACAGTTGGAAACAGTTAAGACTTTCATCATAAATTCGTGTATAAGATGATAAAATTAACTAATTTAACACGTTCCTAAATGTTCATAATGGCGCCCATTTGACGATGTCTTCACGTTTCCTTGAATTTCTTCACGACTGAGCGAGCTAATTACACCATAAATATATGATATTAAAGATGAAAGTATCACCTTTCCAACGAGCCCTTTGGTAGCTATGTGCTACCATCGAGTCATCTGCTAAGAGCTGTTAAATATGTCATTGCACCATCTTCACGTTTTACTTAATTCCATGATAACCACGCAAGATAATTACATACTTCAACTTGAATCGTAAACTGAAAAGCGCCACCTTTGGAATGGAAAAATACGAATTCAATTGGTAACTCGAAAACTATACAATTTTGCTTATTGTTACAAATAACTATTCAGATAATTGTTGTAAAAAAAAAGCGTGGAGAATTTTGGCAATTGCATCGACGATAATAGAAATCAATTATCTGGAAATCTTTGCTAGTAAAACTTGACGAAAATAAACCTTGATGTAGCAATTAAAAAGATATGGTGATAGTACAAAACTCGCTATTTTATTTTGTTGTTTCTTTCCTAATTGAATCCTACATCAAAAAATCAACCGTTCTCCTATTATCAAATAACTTGAAAACTATACATGTTGGTTAGATCATTAAAAATGCAAATTAAAGATAAAACTAAAGCCTTTGCAATGAGCACATTTCCAGATTCGTTGTTTTCGCTGTTCTCGTGTTAAAAGGTTTCAAAATTTAGTAAAAGAAACGACGCATTTTCAGCGACGTAACAAAATCGTAGGTTTCTCTTTTTCAGAACAGTTGGAAACAGTTAAGACTTTCATCATTAGTTCGTGTACAAGATGATATAATTAACAAATTTAACACGTTCCTATATGTTCATAATCGCGCCCATTTCACGATGTCTTCACGTTTCCTTGAATTACTTCACGACTGAGCGAGCTAATTATAGCATAAATATATGATATTAAAGATGAAAGTATCACCTTTCCAACGAGCCCTTTGGTAGCTATGTGCTACCATCGAGTCATCTACTAAGAGCTGTTAAATATGTCAATGCACCATCTTCACGTTTTACTTAATTCCATGATAACCACGCAAGATAATTACATACTTCAACTTGAATCGTCAACTGAAAAGCGCCACCTGTCGTTATGAAAAATACGAATTCAATTGGTAACTCGAAAACTATACAATTTTGCTTATTGTTACAAATAACTATTCAGATAATTGTTGTTGATTCTTTTCAGGATTTAAATTATAGAAATATTGTAGGCAAAGATTGAGCACGGAATGTTTTCGACGAGTTACACGTTTTCGAAATTAAATTTATCTCGATTGATTTGCGAGAAATGAAAATTTGTAATTGCGAAATGGCACGTCTCAATTCTGGTATAAAATAGTTCGGGAGCAGTACCATTTGTACGTACAAAATGTTCACGCCAACTGTACTCATCTTCTCTGCGATCTTAACTTTCCAGCTGGTATGTACTAAATCCTAAATAACTTAATAAGATTACGCCATCTCCATGACAATTGTTTTTTGTTTCTTTCTGCAGGGAGCTGCCACCTTCCAGCAGGACTGCGAATCCGGCCATGTCGATGTCGCCATGGAGATCTTCACGAAGGTAAAAGGCAAGTGGCAGGGTTCGGTGCAGCATCTGGTCGATGCTAAAACGGAGGTGTTCGATAAGGTGAAGCAGTGCAAAGTCGGAAAAACGAATCACAAGCAATTGGTAGAACTGCAAGAGAAATTTGCAGCGGACATGACCAAATGCAACGAGAAACTGGTACACGAAAACGGGACGATTCATAAAGAGATGGAGAAGATCAACAAGTTGCTGAAGGACATGAAGTGCAGCAAAGATGTGGTCACCACGAAGAGCCCTGCTGCTCATTTTCAAGGTGCTGTCCAACATCTACGCAATTTCTTCGCAGCGCTGAAGAATTGGAAGCACGGACTGAAGCAATTGCCTGCGAAGCATGTGAGCCTCGATAAGCCATGGCTGAAGTTGCTCCAGACCGTTGTGAAGTCGATCAGCCATTTGATGAGTTCCCTTGTGGGACCGTCTTCTGGTAGATTTTCGTGCTCGAAGCACGGCAACTCTGATTGCAAAAAGGTCGTAGGTCACATCAATAAAATAGTGGGCGCCGTCACCAAGTCCACAACAAGTTATGACGCTTGCATCAAGAAGCAGAAAGATCTTCTATACAAAGATCCCACTTACACAGTTCTGTGCCAATAATACAACAGTTTTACTTGCAAGATAATATTCCATGTAGTCTTATAGTCAATAATGCAATAATTAAACGAATAACAATCTGAAAAACAAAATGTTTATCCATTATTTTTAAACCTGATTTCCTTCAAAAATAATACATTTATTTTTCGTAAACAATTCTTGTAACAATTAAAATATATTATTTGTATTTATATATGTGTGTGTATATATATATAGAATATTTGGTAAAAAAAAAACTTGAACTCTGAACCGCATATCTAGCCATCTGACTAAACAAAACACAAACGAAAATATTAAGTAAATGAGCTTATATACAGTATGTTACAGTATGTACACAAGTTACCTAAACAATAATCAACAGTGATAAACAAAAAAAGAAACATAAACAAACTAAGGGAAAACTGTGACAAGAAATAAGGATGTAATAAATGTAATTGTGAATGTATAAGGCACAACCAGAAGTCAGAAATAATAAACGGAGTTAAGGGAAAAGTCGAAGAAGAGCGGAAAAAGTGAATAGATCAAATTAAATTTGGTATCAGTCTTCGTACGTAATATTGTCAGTGTTTAAAGTGTGCTTCCTCTCGTCATAGAGACGTTTAGCGTAGTTGACCTGTCTCGTGACGATCTTGGCCACTTCGAGCGAATCGCATCGCACTTTGGGCTTCTTCACTGGGTCCTGGTAGACCAGGGTCATACTGGATCCTGTCACATGAACGGTCAGCTCGATGTAGTGACGAGAATCGCCTCCTTCCGTTTTCTGGATCGCCCTGCACTTCTCCAAATCGCTGCAACAACAACAACAAACATAAAATGTATTCCAGTCATGAATTTTCTTGCATCAGCTGTTACCTCAAGTTTACTTCAATAACCGTCGTCACGTTTTGCGGAGTCGGCTTCGTGACGATCCTCACGCGCTGATCGGAAATAAGCACTCGCAGGTTTTCGGAGCCGCCACGTAGATTCTCGTACGCCACCAATTGCTCATCGAAATTCCTGAAACACCCATAAAAATACATAAAGATCATCAATACATGTCATTATATAATAGCAAATGTATATGTAACTTTGTTGAAAACTTACCTATCGTTAATGTTGAACAAATACTGCTGTCCGACGCTCTGTTTTAGACTGTATCTAGGCAACAGTCCACCCGGACCGAATACGCATCTAGGTGGACGTGATCTTTTGGGCATCATCTTCGAGGAGGTCCGACTGGAATCCCTCACAGCCCGCGCAGTCTCAGAGGCAAGATCCAGCACGCCGACGACGGGTTTCGCGACTGCTCCGACTATTCCTTTTCCGAAACCGCTGAACATGCCCGGCAATCCCTCGTTGGCGGCGCCCTGGTAGACCTGCTTGAAGATGCCGGTGGCTCCACCCAAAAATCCGAAGCCCAATCCTTTAATGCCCGCAACCAAATGATCCTTGCTGCTACCCGGTATCACGTGCCTGATCTTCTGACGGATCTCCTCGTGCTCATCATCCATGGCCACTCTTCCGAGACCGTCGGACAGAGACTCGGTTACCTTCGCCGCAGAATTTGAGATGCCGTGTGCGACATTCTTCACCAGAGCACCAACATTACCGTCGTGTATCAAGCCGGAGAAACCCTCGGAGACGTCGTTCATGAATCCAATAGGATTGCCGAGGAAATCGACCGATCCCAATATTATTCCCGCTTGCCATATTAGCTCCTACAGACGAAAAAACAAATAGAATGAATAATAGTGTTTCGTCATTGAATTATGCACTTACGTCTTTGAAATGCTTGACAACGGAATGCATAAGGAACTGCATCGTCTCGAAGAGATGCTCTCGTTTGTAAGTCTCCAGATCGACGCCGGCGTCCTCGAACTTGATCAGCGTCAAACCCAGCTTCCTCTTGATATTCACCAATGTCTTCGGTAGTTTGGTTGCAGTCTTCATGCTCAATCTGATCTGATCGGGACAGAGCTGTATTATGCCGAAGTAGTAACGAGTTGCGTGTGACGCCGACACTTGAGTAAGGATCTTCTGGATCTCGTGGTCATTTTCGTCCGCGTTGCACAGCTCCTCCTCGCGCGAATTGTAGCTGACAAACTCGCACAGTTTCAGCAGCAGTCGCTCCTCCAGATGCACAGTCAACTTCTTCAGACGGACAATCAAATACTGAAATAATTATAATAATTAAACAAGTTCAAAACAAGTTACGGATTTTATATAACTCACGTTGAAGATGATGGCGTTCTCGTTGACTACAGGTTGCATTTCGACGCGGATGTCGAGTGCCGGAAGCTTGGATTGAGCATCGTCTCCGCCCCTGCCACTTGGTGGTGTCACGTACAGGAATATGGGGATGGGCGCTTCGAACAACTGATTATCGATCTGAATGTTCTCCACGCTGATGCACAGACGTTTCGTCTTCGAGGTGGTGAGCACCTCTCCGACGATGTTGCTGAACTGCGCGTACAGCAGCTCCTGCGCTGGATTCCTCGAGATCAGACTGATACCGAGCGCGTTCAGACGCAGAGTGAATTGCACCTCTCGCTCCAGCTTCACGTCATCCTCCTTCTCCTCAGCGTAATGCAGATTTGGGCGTTGCTTAACCGCGATACTCGACCAATCGCGTTCATCTGGAGATGCGAACATCCGCTCCTTTTTCTTCTCCCGCATGTCGTACACGTTGAGCACCCTCGTGGGTCCATCGGTGGTGATTTCGATGGAAAGGTAACCGGAACCAGGTCTGAGTCTCTGACGACTCACCGCCTGTTCTAGAGGGATTCCCGTATCCGTCGTCCTGTGACAGATAGGCTGTGGAAGTCCTAGAACCGCAGCATTCCCTACAACCAAAACACAACAAATTAGATACAAAGAAATCTGTATGAATGCAATTGTTAAATTCCCCGAAGCACTTAGATTGATGGACCCAACGGATTAGATCATTTTGTGGATGTGTTTAAATCAAGAGAAAGCGGGATGAAGTAACAAAAAAGCAACGCTTTGTGGATACAGAAGTCAAGTGGTTGTTAACCAGCTACAATTTAAGCATGTTTAAGTGGAACTCTCATGATCAGTAATATTAAACAGATATTAAATATCAATTATTAAATGCTGATTGGATAATTGGATGTTATGGAATGTAATTTGCATGAACAGAGACCACCAGATTTTGCAGTAGGTAACTCGAAGTGGGAACCAAAAAAATTGGAGTGTTTTTGTGATCACAGCACCAAGAAATATTAAGTTTTAAAAATACGTACACTGTTGCCAGCAAGCTAGGCTTCTACTACCTGTAATAAATGATTATAATTGACGAGTGGTCATGCAAAAGAAATAATAACGAATCAGCTGAGATGAGAGAGAGAGACGGTTCGCTTTTGTGCAAACGTCCTGCAACTGACCTTGTCTTAATCCGAAGAAACCGTCCTGCGCCTGCACGCACATGTTATGATGGACGCACCTGAGTCTTCCTTCTTCGGTGAAGCGCCAGGTCTGCGTGCTCTTCCTCCGAGGATCGGGTCTTCGAAGGACGAGCCTCGTGTACTGACTAGGCTGAGGGGCGGTGCCCTCGATGTCGAGCACGAGTATGTTCTCGGTCCGCTGTTGGCCGGGATGAAGGGGCGGGCTGCTACCCTCGTGATGTAATTGGCCAGTGCTTGTCATCCGCCAAAGCTGAGACCGCCTACCGTGCTCCTTCCGACCCAACACCACCCTGTTGTTATGCACGTCCAACACCAATTCCTGAGTTTCCACGTCAAGTGGATCAGCCACTCCCCTATCCCTGAAAGTAGGAAATATTGTAATTTTCGCAATTTTGTTTTAAAAAAAAAATCTTTTACTTTTTGAAGGTGCCGGTGAACGCTATGTAAATGAAGTTTTCGTAGGTCAGACTGGACGCAGGGCCAAGATTTTTGATGTTGTAAACTCCGGACACTCCACCCGGTGCTTCAACGGTGAGAAGCATGTCCTTGGTGGATTCATCCCAAGCATAAGGAACGCTGGAATGGGCACGAGCTACGCTATGCACGTAATCCTTGCAGCAGGTCTGCACGAACTTGACGGGAACCTCGGAGAAGTTGTCGATACGAATAGGAGGCGGCATGGTATCCGCATCGGTGAAGACTATGAAGAAAGTGGCGCACTGGAGGACCACCTCCAATCTCAAAAAGAACATCCGACCGTTTGCGTCGCGCACGTTGATGTGCTGAGAGTAATTGGAGTCAATTTTCAAACCACCGGACCAGCAGCAATCTGGAATATCCTGGATTAGAACGCAGAGCAGCTGCTCCTGATCCAATCTGGGCCAGTGGAACGGTAGATAGCAGTTGGAGAATGCCGTCAGGTAGTGCGAGTTCGGATCGAGAACGTCTCCAGCGAAGCAGCGTTGCGTGAACAGCAATTTGTAGGAACTCTTGTTGAAGAGTTGGAATCGCGGTGAAATGGTCACTATGCACGTTTGCCTGTACTTGCCGCGACCCTGCCGCACCTCAATACCCACGACGAAAACAACATCTGGTTTACCATCCCGAACGGTGACCTTCAACTTCTTCACTTGCACTCCCCGCTGCAGATGGAAATTCTGGCACCATTGAGCCCCTCCGTTGGGAATCACGTAGGTTCCAACGCGCGCAACCACACTGGGACTTCCATCGGGATCTGCGAAGCTGAAGAGGAAAGGTTGAACCATCCTGGCCTCTTCGTGCTCATCGAATTGACCGGCAGCTTCGGCGGTAACTCCGCCTTGTCTGAACACCAGCGGCAGTCCGGTTTTGTTCACGATCCAGAACGGCGTGGAGATGATAATCTTCACCTTGGAATCGTAGTAAGGCGCAACGACGGCATTCAAATATAACTTCCTGCCTCTCGTATCCTCCAGCCTCAGTTTGTACGTAAAGTTCGTCGTACCGGCGGGAACCTGGAGCGCCGTGCTCGTCGGGAAGTTTTCCAAAAGTACCTTCAGCTCGAAAGTCTTATCCGTGTTGATGTTAGTAAGTGCCACCTCCGCTCCAGCCCCGACACGACCCCTCTCATTACCAACCACATAGCTCAAATCAACAGGCAGCAAATTTACCAGCAGCACGTTCGGAAGTAACGTGATTGTGTGCGCAGGCTGAGGTCTCTGATTGCTGTATCCTGCTATAACGATCGACTTATCAGGAGGATAATTTTGACGATGGATCTCCGCGCAGAAACGATAAATCTAAGCATAAAATAAAAGTTTTACTTTAACATAAAGATGACAATTATTACATACCATTCCGCGATGCGAGTGGCACGTCTTGATTTCGTGCATGAGATCTCCGGCGAGGCTGGTTGACTCCCAGGATATCGATGGATTGCAGTAGGTGTACCTTTGTTCGACGTCCAATGGTCGTACACCGATTATGGAATGGGCGTGCACCAAAGGCACTGGTAGAATACATCCCTTTTCCACCTGAAAAACCTTACTGGGCGCCCAAATCGTGCCCGCATCGTGTGGCAATTGGCTCTCCAACTTCACCTCAACGCTTTCAGGTAATTTGTTGATTAGCAGCAAAGCCGATCTAACCGTCACCAACTTTCTGGCAGATCCCTCCAACGCCACATCGAATACTATCCTGGCTTGAGGTATTTCCTTTTGACTCTGCTCATAATAATAATAATATAAATAAACGAATCATTTTTATTAAGAAGGATTTCACTCACCCTATTTTGAATTGAAGCAGTTGCGTGCCTGAAGTATACTCCGACTTTGTCCACGGTGACTGGAGTGATGTGCTGGAATCCTTCGATCTGAACTCCCAATTGATGCATGCGCATCTTGTGCGAATCGCTGTGCCTGATTTTAACTCTGCTTTTGAAGGAGAAGGGAACGGTTTCACCGGGTGCAACCGTGTACCACTTGTTACCGCTCTTCTTGACATCATCGTTATCATAGATATCATCCATTTCGGTGATCAGAGTGCTGTAGTATAAAGGTGATCCGGTCTCGTTCTTCAACGCGTATGGTACGAACGGAGATCTCTGCCTGTAACCAGCCATGGAACTCTTCTGCGCCTTGCTCAAATCCAGTGTCCAACTATCCCTGACCTGCTTATAGAGCTCCGTCAACGTGGTGGTAATGTTCACGTTCAGAGAGTCGCCGGACTCGACGGTCAACTGTAAACGATTCCTAGACACGTCGTGCGTGTGCGTATGATCCCAAATAACTATACACCTCCAAGGTTCAATGATTGGCTCCCAGCCGGATAAAACGCGATTGTAGTAATCGCTGCCGAAGACGCACTCCAACTTCCCCTTCGTGGGACTTTCCATAGAATTCGCATCCAACTTCACCAAACCCTGCTTCAAATGCAACTGAGAGAGCGTGAGCTCTAGCAGCGGTACGTCCGCATCGTCGCAATCATCGATCACGCACAAGAATATATTATCCGATTTTACCTCAATTGCTACCACCTTGCAGGTGGAATCTTCCGATGCTATTATGTAATTGGGGACGGCGTTCTGGGTAAGCCAAAGAGCGGCATCGTCTAGTTTCTGGCCGCAGCTGTTCAATGCTGCGACGCAATCTTCAGCGTTGAAACCCAACGCTGTCAGCTTCTCGATCCGCTTCCTTGTGATCTCTGAGAACTGATCGTTGTTCTTCTTGCGCGAGAACATCTGCTGCGGCAGCGAATTCAGGATCTGCGCAAACATTCGCATGTCGTAGTAGGACAGTCGCACGGTCAGAGAGTTGAGGTAGATCTCCAGGATGCGATCCTTATTGATTTCGATGTTGACGGTGACTGGATCGATGATCGACAGTGCAGTTTCCTCCTCCTTTCCCAGCACGCACGAATACATCTCGCAGTGATTCAGATTGCAGGATAATGGTTTCTCAATCATGGACGAACGATACGTTACCACAGTGGTACTCTGAAATTACATGATATAAACAACTTCATAATATAACTAGCATGTTTATGTACCTTGAAAATAACAGCGTTGGTATCGAAATCCGAGGTGTCCTCAACGACGACGACCTCCGAATCGGTGACGTTCAACTTCAGCTCGAAAGGAATCCCATCCTGCTTTTTGTCGCTCTGCATGGAGCGCTGCCGACTCGGACTTGCAGGAGGATCCTCGATGTCCTGCAGGATGAACTCACCGACCAGCTTCCACCAATCGAATACGCACATCAGCCGCATATTGTTCAGTAGAATGGTGAACTTTGACTTGTCGACGCGTTTGCGACTGTGCACCTCTACTTGCACTAGATCGGCATGATTCGCCGAGCGAATCGGCTTCAAGATTTCTGTGAAGGCGTTCGGACCACCGCGCGTATCCGTAATAAGAATTTCCTGCGATACCAAATCCACATCCTGACTAATGTTGCTGAAACCCTCTACGGTCAAACGGGACTTGATGAAGTTGATGCAGGCCAAAGGTTCGCTCGTCTCGCACTGCTGAAGCCGTACCGTCACATTGAGCAGATCCAATCTGAGCGAAGACAGAATCCAAACGTCATGGATGTTCGGCTGAAATAGTTAAAAAAATAATGTATATAATCAATGAAACACAATTAAACTTACGTCAGCTGTGATCGGAGGAGGCTGCACCGATGCTAAGATATGCTCGGTGTCCTCCCCAAGATTGTGCGCCAAAAATCCCCTGATCAATTTGTACTGAGATATATCCAAGGTGCAATCCAACGTGGATAACTCTCCGTGGATGCTCATGTCGGGAACGTTATGGCAAATGCTCGAATGCAAATTCCTCTCCACGTGGATCTTCAGGTGGCATTTTTCTGTCAGCAACGGTGGTCCGCATCTGCGGATGACGCAATTCCCTAACTTGCAGTAATCGCCTCCTCGGTGCGCCTCCTGCGAATCGACTTCGCGTTCTCCTGTCTGAAGACTAACGTTGTCCAAAGCCAAAAGCATTACGTCTAACAAGCATTTGCGATCCGTAGAGTTCTTCGCCAAAGCGCTAATGGTACCAGCATCCCCGCTATATTTGAAGCTATTGGTGACCTTCAGCTCGCCCAGATCTACGATTATCAATTTGGAGCTCTTCGTGCTAACCGGCAACAATATAACAGGTGATTGAGCTTCCAGTATAAGCGACAACCTGGCGATTTCATCTTTGATCTTCTTTCCGCTAGTTGCCGCTCGCAATCCGGCCATCACCGCGTGGAATCGCGAGAAATGATTGAAGAACGATTGAATCTCCACCACGAATCTCTTGGTGTGCACGTACTGCACCGAAGACATGTTGAGAGTAAGTTGAGAATCGTAGTCTTTAATCTCGCTCGACCCATGCCTACAAATACACTGCTTTTACAAGTACTTTATGAATATTTGCAATATTTACCGAACGTATCTGAATTTGAGCGCTTCACGCCCTGTAGTCAAAAATCGCTCTCGATAGAGATGACCGTGCATGGTTAAATCCATGAGCGATATAGAACCCAAAGTGCAGTCCACTTCCTTCCTTTTACCATCCGCGTTTATGGATATGTCCACGTTGGAGATGTTCGCTTTGGCCACCTGCTTATCGCCTCGCACCAAAACCATGGTCAACGACCTGACACTTATATTCGTCTCAGTGTTTTCTAAAATCGTCTCTGCAAATAACAAAAAAAATTAAGAAAAATTAATTTTTCGTTCAGATTCAAACCTTTCTCCGAGTTGTCTTCCTTCCCAGCGCTCTTAGAAGACGCAGAATCTGTAACGTCGGATGGTGCGGCGCTAAAGAAATCGATGACCATCACCCAAGATTCGGCGCTGATGACGAGGTCCAAGCAGTTGAAGTCCACGGACGTCGATCGTTGCACCTTTAATTAAAATAGTTAAATAAGAGAATTTATCGTTTTAGGAAGACTTACGGAATTGTAATGGGTCTTGAAGTTGGGAGCGGCAGGATTTACGAGTAGCGTGCTAATTAAGACTAGATTCTTGACGGGTCGGGACTTAACCGATGGACTTGGAGGAGGCGTAGACGGACAAGCCTTGCTGTTATCAGTGATTGCGTCTATGTGAACGGTATGGGAACGTTCCATGAAGCCGTTCACACCTAGATGGTCGGGCAGTGACCCGTGGACGGGGCTTCCGGCATGCGCAAATCCGTAGATGTTCGGGCAAGATCGAGAGACGCACGCCAATCCAAGAGCGACGTCGTCTCCGGCGGAAGAAATCACCATATCTCGTTGCGTGGATCCCGCGCGTTGTAGAAGATCCTCCATGTAAATAGACCTCAGCGATACCTATTGTAACAGAATTATTAACTAACCACTAAACCAAGAATACTTTGGATAACTTACATGGATATTAGTCTCGTAAGCGTTGCCTTTATCGTATGTAAAGCCGAAATCGATAAAGGACAGATCGACTAAGCCTTGCTCACCCATCGGGGTGTCTCCTCTAAGTTCCATTGTGAAAACAGGCAATTCAAAGTTTACTAAAAACAAATATTAGTAAATTTAAAAAATACAATGAAACATTTTACGAATCTCACCTTTCAACGAGACCAGGTTGTTCTTTGCAGGAGAGTTCTTGGGCATGTTCACAGCTGGGAAAAGCTTAGCCCTGACGTGAGGATCCATGTTCAACGTGGTCACTCCCGTATCCTCCTCGGTGATGTCCGCGAGATTAGCTCTAGTGCTCTTGATGGTCCCATGGATGTCATCCAGTTTTGGAGAAGACGTCAACCACTGAACAGTATCCAGCAGCTGCTCGTATTGTCCTCTCGTCAACGAGACTTTTAAATCTGTGACAACAGTTCCGTGAATCTTAAAATAACAACACCGATTAGTAACATCATTCTAAAATTAGTGACTTTCAATTCTACCTCGATGGTTTCAAAAGTATTATACTCGTTGTCTTCTTCGTCGTCGTTGTCATCATCATCTTCGTCATCATCGATCAGCAGATTCGGTATGCTATGTTGAGGCGATCCCACTTTTTTCGGCAACTCCCTGCATATCTTCAGCCTGACGATAGTGTCGTGCAGAATCGGGATGGCAAGAGAATCGCAAGCGTAGAGGATCTCCGGGCTAGTCATCAATGGACCAGGGACTCGTCTGGTGACGGTATCCAAAGAGAACAGATTCATGTCGCTCACTTCGATGTCGTAATGTTCGGTGCGAACCTCTCGAGCTTCAAACCCATCGTACGGATGTTTATTGGTAACGTTGATGTTACCCAAATGAGCGACGAAAACCTGAAAGCTGTTGTTGGCTCGAGGCAGCACGAGGACAGGTGAATCCAAGACGATATCCAATCTGAAATTGATTTTATGATCATAATTTTCAAAACTTAAATATAAAATATTTACTTTAAATCGATTTTAAAGTTGTCATCCTCGTTGGGGCTGTATGGGGTTTGCGGCACGGTGTCCCTCACCGACGAATAACCGGAAAATGATTGGTCCTGGCTGCTGCTGCGTCTTCGTCTCCTGGGAGATGTTAAATCGGAGAAGGATAGGGCGCTTCCGTAGATGGAAGCTGAAAGGCGCGAGTTCATGTAGATCGATTGCGCCAAAGCTTCCGCCCTAAAGAATAAAATGTAAAAAAAAAAATCTTAAAGGATTCATTTAAATCACGTACCTCGCATGGACCAAACCCAAGGCCATATCCGTGGCAGCAGTCCTGATGGATCTAGCCAGATTGGCCATATACTGTTTGAATTCTGTCGCGCACGATTGTAACTCAACGACGAAGTGCGGGGAATGAGTGTACCATAACGAGGCCATCCGAACTATGACCTCGGCGCGATCCGCGTCCGGCTGAAGACTTCGAACGATCTTGAAGCTGAAGGCTTTGCTCTCGTCCACGTTCTGCGTGGAGGTGGCGGACATCAAGTAAAGAGGATGGGTGTTTTCCAGAAGAGGATCTCGCCCTACGCTCATTATCCTCTGGTGCATGTGCCCTTCCGGCGTCAAATCTAGCACTTGCAAACCACCTAGAGAACCTTCAATGGTCACGCCGTTATCTACAAACACAAGTATTATTATTATTGATGGATCTAAATACATTTATTGGGCGATAACTCACTAACAACGGCTTGGATCTTAGCTTCGCTCATGGTGGCCGTGCAGATTTTCTTCCCATAGACGTAGCCATCTTTGACGACACCTCTGAGTAGCAGCACGTTGAGTCTGTGGAAATCGAAGGTGATCTCGGTGGTTCCCAAACGTGTATTGTCCTCTTCAGCTAAAGATTCTCGCGAACTGTGAACGCTCGAGGCAACGATCGGCGTGGAGACCATAGCCGACGGTTTCTGCGATTTCAACTCGGGAAAAACCCTCTGCACGAATCCCATCAACTCGACGATCGTCTCCTGATTGGCGATGATGTCCAGATTGTTGAACTGGATGTTGGCGATTTGCATCGGGTCACTTCCGAAGACCAGAAGCAGATCCAAACTGATCAAAGCCTCGGCGTCGAGTATCGCGGTGCGATTACCGCCGCGATTGAACGGAAGATTCGGAGGAGACGTGGCCAAACTGGACAGGGCTTGGTTGAGGGCTACGGGAGAGGTGGCGCCGATTCTCGTCACGTTTGGATCGGGACTACCGGGAGATGTGGGCGACGTCGGCTCGCTGTCCCTCAAACTACCAGACATCGAATCCATCCTTCAGATGAAAACAACCGATTAAATATAATAGTAAAATCGAAAATAATAACGACATACCCGACGTGTTTATGACTAGCGACTAGCAGCTCAAAATCTGGTCCGAAAGTTTGCAGAGCGTCGACTAAAAGTAGACTGTGCACGGAGAGCGTTATGTTAACATCGACTGGTCTCTTCGTAAATCCCAATTTGACGCCTGAAACCTGCAGCTCCGCCACGCTCCTTCCTCTGCTTTGCACTTCCATGGCGAGATGATCGACTGTGAACTGCAGCATCAGCAGCCTTGACATCTCCGCGCTTGTCGTATTGTTACTCATGCTCTCTTCATCAATCCCATTCATAACAGTCTCCTCGACACTACACTCCGAGGAATTGAACGGCGAGGGCAGACCTGTTGCTGTGATGATCTGCGCTAATTTACGAGCGGCAGAGATCTTCTGCTCGTTGAAGTGCGCCACCAATTTAGGTAGATTAGCGTTCAAAGTGAGACTCGGATAAAGCGGATCGTAAGTGTGTATAACCCTCCTCTCAATCTGCAAAGAGATATTGAACCTATCCAAGACGTGAAGAGTAGAAGTGCCCTTGTTGTGCGCGTATCTCCAATTATCTTTGACCCTTGCAATCAGGATCTGCATGTCGGTAAGCTCCACCGAGTAACGATCGTAAATCTTCTGGTGAAGTGACGTCTCGTTCAAAGTGTCCGCTGGTAAATTGTTCTCCATGTAAGTTAACTGCTCGGAATCGCTTTCTTCGCTCGCAGGTGGCGTCGAGCACGGCGTCATGAACATCTCGTCGTCCTGCAAGAAAACGATAAACTGAAACATCTATACCCTTAACTTTTTGTTTCGTAAATCCTTACATCTTCTTTTCGGGAATCGTCAGATTTCAGCAAGTCGATGCCCTCGACGTTATTCCTCAGCTGCAATCGACCGAAATCGATTACGGCTATAGCCGCATTGGGATTGGAGAATTGCTCGACGAAGAATATCTGCGGAGCGGTGACGTCCAGCTGAAGATCCCAGCTCTTGCGCGCCGACGCTCGACCATCGAGTATCTGCTCCCAATTCTTCATGAACTCCTTTTTCGTACGCGACTTCATCGCCTCGATCTGCGATTGCGTTATTGTCCTTTGATGAGGTAGACATAGAAACTCGGTCAACCATCGGACTGCCGATGGTTGATACACCACATCCAACGATTTGGATTTAACACATAATCTGAAGATGCACGCATTACGTAAATTGAATGTAGCTGAAAAAAAATACGCATTTCATTTACCTGTAATCACAGCCAGAATTTTCAGGTTTTTGCTCGTAGCTCATGTGGAAGATGCAATCCATTTCATCCGCCTGTCTATTGACTAGGCTCACCCTTGGACTCGGCCCACGACCCCGACCTGCAGGGCCACCGCGCTCCGTCCCCGGAGGACCCACCAGCACCGGGAACAACGTGTTCGGAGTGAACTTATCGCACAGGTAGACCGCACCCAAAGACAACTCCACCAGATGCGACGAAGATCTCGGACGACTGACGATGTTCAGGCAGAGGTTTTTGAATTGCAACTCCAACATTGGTATACTAAAACATAACAGAAATTATTATTAATATTTGAAGAATAAAATCATTAATGTAAAGTTAACCTTTCCCTAGTTTTCTCGTAAGTTGTGCACAGACTTAGCGTTCCGCTTTTCAAGGTGAAACTAAAACGTCCAAAGACGACGTCGCGTTTTAGCAGGGAATTATTCTCCACGGAATCGGAAAGAGCTTGGAGAATCTCTCCTTCGAGTTGAGCTGTTTCCACCGGAGGTTGTTGTTGGTCTTCTTGCGCGGGAGGTTGCGAATACCAGCCCATCCATTGAGGAAACCAACGAACGAGCATGCTCCGACCAGCGGAATTGTTCCCGTTAGTGCTCCTATCCGGAGTTGGAACGCTCTTCATGGCAATTTCCCGGAGCACCTTCAGCTCCTCGAAGCTGCCGGACCACTCCACTTCATCTTTTAAATTCTTCTCGTCGGTGCTCAAAGTGATTGTAGGCGTCAGCAGGATTTTCGTGTAGATCTTCACGTAAGCCACGTTACTTTTAGCACGATGATGACACATCTCCCAGCTCGGTTTTGGTTTGCAAATGTTCGGCTGCTGTCCAGGATACATACAGCTAATCGCGTAGATCCACCAGGAGTAAGGATTATCGTGAACGGAACACGTAGGTCTGTAATTTCGATACGCCCTATACCTGGCGATATCGTCCAACCCTTTGGTGCATTTAACAATTTGATCGTACTGCCACTAAAATCAAACAGGATTAATTTCAAGAAACCACTGTGGAAGCGTTTAAAACCAACATCGGCGAGGACCATAGGAACCTCCTCCAGCTGTAAATCGCAGACGACGCGCGGCGAGTCAGCAGATCTCAGCGGATTCAAGCTTCGATTCCGCTTGATCTTAGCTTGAGCGCTCACTGGCGCCAGAATGTAACAGTTGTCTTCGACCTTCCTCTGCGGACCCATGGCAGTCGTCAACTGCGTCCGATCCATCGTTGATAGTAAATCGCTGTACGGCAGATCTGTCCAATAAACAGCCAACTTTTGCATCTCCAAAATCTTAAAGGACGCAGGAGAGCTGTCCCAGTAGGAGAAACCGGGCTGCCAATCTTCATCGCAGCTCTGCGCCGACAACGATTCCATGGTAATCCCAAACGCAACTCCTTTATCCGGTATACTGATGTCATCTTCATACCGTATATGTACATCGCGGATTTTCAACTAAAGAGACAAATCACCACTTGCAACGCAATTAATATACATAATGGATGCGAGAATCACCTGTAAATTTTCTATTATATTCGTGATGAAACCTGTTCCGAAGTTCAACCAGGACGAGTACGAGGATGCGTAATAGGTAGAATTGCTGGAGTCGTTCTCCAAGCGCCAACGCGCCTCCAAATTATCCAAGGCGCTCAGCTTAAGGTCAAGGGCTGCTGCCGCCTCGACGTCGGCATCCCACTGAAAACAACGAAAGGTTATTTACACTTATTTTACAGTTTTTTTTGTACTCGTTTACCTCCCGAACAGGAAGAGGAGTCGCGACGACGTACAGCTGCTCGATGAGGATGATCCATGGGGCCGATCGGATCTGTCTCACCGGAATCTGCAGCTTGATCTTTCCGATAAATCCGGACTTGATCTGCACCGGCAATCCCAGATGACGGAGGGCATCTCGTTTCAACGGTAAATTCTCTAATTCGACTTCACCTGAAAAACATAAATTATATAAATTGCATTCAATTTTCTAAACTCGCTATATCATTAAAACTCTCTTCAGACAGTAATTATATACTTCACAATGCAATCATTATTCTATAAAACGAAAGTTTAATAG